CTTCACTCTGTTGCTGTGGCTATTATTTTTTTTTTAGGTTGATGAAGATGAGGTCAGTCTGAATATCAATCACTCAGTGTAATTGTCCTTTAAGGAATGCAAGGAGAGACTGTCTCCCTCCATCCATCTCTGTCTCTTTCAACCTGCGTCTGTGTGTGTGTCGGGTGTGTGAGTAACTGACACCGCAGGGGCTTCCTCACAAGAATGACAGTAATGAGGTAGATAGGATGAGGATGATATATATGCTCAGCCAATCAATGTTACATAATAGCTGTTGATCACTATATTAATTGGTCCTGTTGGCCGTGTCACCAGAGGCGGTGTCATATTTGACAGTCTGTCTACACATCTGTTTGTCCTCAGTGAGCTCAGCTAGCTGTGGGCTGCTGCTCCAGCCTTATGTGTGTTTGCATTTAAGGCTGTAGGCTGTCATTTGAAGTCAACTGGAGCTGCACAAAACGCTTTGAATCCAGCACGCAGGAGGAAAGGCAGACCGGGGTAAGGGGGAGCAAGAAGAATTGCTCTCGGGTGTCACAGATGCAACTGGAAGTCGGAAGGGGCTACGGGGTGGGAAGCTGTGCTTTTTTTTTATCTCAATGGATGCTTAAAAGAAAAGAAAATCGGAAAAACATTTGATCTTGCCAAACACAACTTGACCCCATGTCTTTTGTGGTTTCGCTCTCTTGTTTGGCCGCTTCAAAGTATTCTTCTGTATATCCTTTATTCTCTCTTTCGTGCCTCTCCCCCTCACCCTTCTATTCCCCTAACTTCTGAGTGCTGTGTTGGGATGGCGAGGGCACTGGAGGGGACAGTAATGACTAACTCTGTAAAGGTAATGATAAAGTACAGATGCTTTAGACTCCACTCTGGCTAGAGGCACTGGGGCTAAGAAAATTACAGTCCACTCTGTGTTTGTGTGTGTCTGTGTGTGAGAGAGAGGGAAACAAAGAGAATGAGATGCAGAGGGCAGAAAAAACAACAGTCAGGCAAGAGACAAAGACAGACTTAACTCTTATTTATTTTCCCTACCAAAAATGATAGCAATTCAGTATTCTGTATGGTGTGTGTGTGTGTGTGTGTGTGTGTCTGTCTGTCTGTCTTCTCCTCGCATGTTTTTGAGGGTTTTTTCTGCTGTCCATTTCCAGCCATCTTGTCTTCACATCTTGTCACCTTTGCCCGCATTCCTTTCTGTCTCTCTCACATGCAGGCCTGCCCTTCCGTTTAGCCCGGCTCAATCATTGTCATTGTGACTCTGTGGACCTTTCCACAAAAGTGGTTCCCATCTTGGTTTGGAGCAAGAAACTGACTTGGAAACCGCTCTTTCTGTTTCAGTAGTCAAAGAGCCTGATTCCAGCCACCCAAAAAGACTCAGTGCTGGCCCAAAGCAAAGGAGCCAGAGCCAGTGTAGTGTTGACACTAAGCTTTAACATAGACGAGAAGCTGAAAGGGCTGTATAAGCATACGTTTTCTGTAAATTTCCCTTTAGTTTAATATTCAAATATCAACTATCACTTTTTAAAATTTTGGCAGTGTTTCCATTTGTAGCGCTGTTCATGATTTGGATGACTCTTGTTTAAGGAAGCATTTATAAAGGGTGCCCAAGTACTGGTCAATAATGATAAATGGTCTCCCTGTACAGTAATCCTCTGCTGATATTCAGAATATACTCGAGGGAGGTTCGACCATGCATTGAAACAGCGGCATGAAGGCTCTAGCATTAGTTCTGAAACAGAACTGGGACAGGTTTGGTTGGATATAAGCTTTCAGTTACACTCCTCTGCAAACATGCCTCACAAAGGGCATGATGCCGTCACCTACAGTTAAGTTCAGCATAGAAAAATACAAGTTAGTGAGAAGGCAGTTCATAAGCATGGGTTGTCTACCGGCTAGATGTGTGTTTGTTCGCATGATTGTGTGCTCAGGAAAAGAATACATAGAAGTCTGTGTTTGCTGTCAAGCTGTCTGCTGTCTGTCATTAGAGTAATAAAAGACTTGCTGTGCTGCACAGCGAGGAGTTCTCGTCTTTAAGGCTCCTCCATTTTGCACAAATTGCCAGCTGCTGAGCTCTGATGGATGTTTGTATGCAAGCCCCTAAACACAGGTTCCACTTTAAACCCACCAGCTCCATTATTTCAGAAAAAGAGAGGGGGAGAAAAAAAAGCCTGTCTGTCTCCTTCCTCTGTCATCCCAAATGTTTTTTTTAATTAAACTGTGCCTCCCTGCAGGCCTCTGACCACAAACACAGACTCTTCAGAAAGAGAGATTTATCCAAATATGCAGGTCTCTCCTCCTTTTCTGTCTCCGTCTGAACCGCCGTCTATCTCTGTTTGTCTCTCTGTGCAGCCTCTCGTCATGCCTGAGGAGTGACAGGCTGTATTTCTAGCCGATGTTTGAACACCGACTGATCAATGCTGGACAAAGGGAATGGAGCGGGAGTGAGGGGCAGGGAGGGGCAAGACAATCGGTTATTGACAGAGAATTTAGACTCTGAAAGAGTGGAGGCGCCGACTTTGTAAAAAGAAAAAGAGAGGGGAGAGCTGTGTGAATCACAATGATGATTGCGATTCATGGGCATTGTTAAGCATCACTTTTAGACGTGTTAACGTTCAGCTGTTACATTTGTTTGTGCTCACATGCATGTGTGCTTGCAATATTGTCCATGTTTAATTGAGCGAGCGCAAATGTGTAAGTGCTCTGTGCAAGCTCAGTGAGTAGAGTGTCTTGTTTACATTTCTTAGTTTGTCCTGCTTAAGCGTGCCTGTGAGATAAAGATGCATAGTATAATCCTGTATTTCCTACAGCAGGAGATATAAAAAAATGTAAAGAGGACAGATAAATGAGGGGTTTGATGATAGAGCCCTTTACTTGAATTCCTTTCAATCTTTGTTTAAGACATAAGTATAAAGAAAATAAATCTCAATATTCTCAGCAACTGACTTTTTTGTATTCATAAAATGTAAACAAAGCTGAGATGTGTTTCTTGTTTCTTGTGGCTTTACAGCGAAATCGCAGTCTGTTCTTACTGTCTGAAGATTTCAGCTGCTCAACAGTCTATGTTTGCCGTTATCGGAGTCTCCTCATAATCTGCCATAAATTTTAATAGGAAGCAGATCTGGGCTGCCAGTCAAGCACACACACTGTGAGCCTTTCTGCTGTAAGTTGTACAGAATGAGCTCTGGCACGTTTTCTGCTGAAATAACCACATATCTCTATAAAATATGTTGCTTTTATAATAAGCATGTCTCGCTGATGCACCCCTATATCATCAAAGTTGCTGGTTTGGATGGTGTTTTTCATCTCTTATAATCATAACATGAGGGTGATTTATTTTGCAGAGCTTTTTTTTTTTAATTTCTCAAAGTTTTGTCTGTGTATGTAAAGAATAACTCTGCAATGCAGTTGTTGGTATTTGCCCATCCCCTCCGTGGGACCAACGTGTCCTGTTAGGTGTGAGTTTTGCACTGTGCTGGAATCTAGAAGGGGTCAAACAGAAGGAGCGTTATAGTGAGTTTTATTCAGTCAGAGTTTAGTGAAATAGTGAGCGGAAGAAGTTTCTGGAGAAGAACAAGGAGGTGCGATGGCAAGAACACAGAGAAAAGGACAGATACAGGACGATGGGTCCATCCCGGGTTAAGCCTCTCTCCATGTGTCCTGCGGCCACAGCAATGCAGGGCTCAGAGCCGTGGTAGTACTCTTTCAGCCTCCTTTTGTCCCGTCAGACAGAATCATTTAATTGGAACAGTGGGATGGGAATAGGAAAGGGCCTGCTTTCCCATATTAGCAGACAATATCTTACTTTCTAAGTAGTTTTTCTTGTTCCCTGGTGGTAGAATAACTGATCAGCTTGGGCTTGATACATTTTGAAAATAGAGCACTGCAAATTTGCCCAGTTTAAATCTCACTGTGTGAAGGCAGTATTTTTCCACACACCTCCTTCTTAATCCACTGAATGCAGAGAATGAGATTTAAGAAGTGTGACATTGCTTTTTTTCTACATTCTTATGTGTATGCAAAGAGGAGGAAGTGCGCTGAGCTGGATCTGCCTGTAGCTTTTTCAGAAATCTCCAGGCCAGAGCCAGAGTTGTCAGTTCCCTGCATTCTGCTCCAGTCTTTCACTTAATGCTTATTGAATTCAGATCATTTTCATAAGGAGCAAGTTTTCTTCTGGAAGGTCAGAGCTATGAAAAATTTATAAGAACCTGGTTTAACCTGACTGGAAAGTGATGGAAAGAGTTCCAAGTCGGACGGTGTTAAATCATTATATAAAAAGTTAAAGACCAATAAAACCTGCTGACCTATAATGCCTTTAAAAAATGTATATACCTGTTTTTGCTACCTTGCGTGTGTCAGGGTTTGAACAAATTATTGTAAATGTACTTTTTTTTATCGATTCATTAGTTTTTGCTCTCTTTTCTACATAGATAGCATAGTGACATGATATATGTACCTAAAGATGTAGCACATAACTGTAGCCAGACCAGAAATATTGTATGCAGGATCTGCTTAGAATTAGTAGAGTAAAAAACCTGGATGAGAGGTCAGAAATTTTGTATTGCTTGTGCCAGGAGAAGCTCGGCCGAAGTGCCAGGAGGGATGTGTCACATTGGAAATGTCAGGGGATAATGTGTGATCAACAAGAAGGTCAGCAGCTCTCCTCCTCAGCTGAGAAGCATGGACTCTTCTATAGAGTTCCAGGCAGGAGGCCTTCATTGAACAGATTAGTGGGAAGACATGGAGGCAAAATGTCATAGCACTCCTCCACTTATAGTGCATACTGTCAACACCTTAAATGTCTTCTTGGAGAAAAAAAAGACAATCTTAGTCCTACGAAGCTCAATTTAGCCACATAAAACAATCTTCAGCCCACATACGTATTGGACAAATCTTTCATAATTCCTGTTTCTTTCAATCTGAGTCCAAGATGTTCTACAGAGCATATCCTGGGGACCCACCGCATTCAGGTTTCCACTGATAAACAGGCAACCTAATCATTTCTGTGATTGTGTTTTCTAGAGAGCAGCGACTACAGCGAGGCAGAGGTTCTCCCAGACTCATTCCCGTCTGCGCCAGCAGAGCCTCTCCCAGAATTCCTGCTGGAACCAGAGGACGCTTTCATAGTAAAGAACCGGCCAGTCCAGCTAAGGTGCAGAGCGTCGCCAGCCACTCAGATCTACTTCAAATGTAACGGAGAATGGGTCAATCAGAACGATCATATCACCAGAGAGAGCTTGGACCAGATCACAGGTGCACACACTCACCCGTGCAGAGGAGAGCTGTAGACATCACTGCACACGCATAGTAATGTCAGCTCGTATTTTACAGAGAAAAACATCATCTTCAATTACCAAAATCCATTTAAACTTCATAATCCATTAGGTCCTTTGGGATTTTATGTGCACGTTAACGGCTTTTGGCCTCCAGCCAATGCATTATTTATATGCAGTGTGAAAAACATGCCTTGGAGATAACCCCCCCCCCCCCCCCCCCGTCTCTGCGTAGGTCTAGTGGTGCGGGAGGTGGAAATATCCGTGTCGAGGACTCAGGTGGAGGAGCTGTTTGGGCTGGAAGACTACTGGTGCCAGTGTGTGGCCTGGAGTTCAGCGGGCACCACCAAGAGCAACCGTGCCTACGTTCGCATTGCATGTCAGTATCCAGTCTGTGGGCGTGAGACTGACCACGAGAAAGAAAGGGAAGACAGTGGAAAAACCTTTCGCTGATTTTTTCTTCCCCCGTTTTCTTTCTTCAAGCAAATCAATTTGCAGCAGTTCAAGGTGAAAAATATGAGAATGGCAGCAACTAACAGATGACTATATGTGTGTTGCCCCCTGTAGTCCTGAGGAAAAACTTTGAGCAGGAGCCTCTGGGGAGAGAGGTGCGACTGGAACAGGAGGTTCTGCTGCAGTGTCGGCCCCCAGAAGGCATGCCCGCTGCAGAGGTAGATGCCTCTCTCTTCGTCACCATTCTCCCACCTACTCATATAACGGTTTTTCCTCTCTCTTAGGATTGAGTTGATGGTTTCTTTTCTTTTTTTTAATAAGCAAGGTTTGAAATGCATTTCTGTTTCACATTGTAAAACCAAAGGAAGGTCACTTAGATGGACACCAGAGAGGAGGGCTAGCTAAAGCAGATACACACATTGTCCTAATGTGGACTGCCACAACATAAAACAAAAAGGAAGAGAGTAAAGGGCAACCTCTGACACCGCTAGTAAAAACTTCACAAAAGCACATGAATAACAGTGAATAATATCCTCAACGAAAAAGCTCAAAAAGCTTGAATAAACAGCATCCCATTCTTTGACACTGAGCTGCTCTGACTCTACCAGCCTATCTAAGAGCACATGAAATGGGATGATCTTCACAGAGAAAAATCAATACCACACATCCAAAAGGAAAACAAAATTACTTATAGATATTTATAATTCAAATAAGAAACCTGTTTTTGACAAATCATGCTGTTGATTCAAATGTCTTATTAAAATGGTTGTATGTGACATTAAAAAAAAAATCATAATGATGATGAAAAAGAAAAATAAGGGGGTGGCGATCACAGACCATCACATTGGAATTTTAGTGTGTTTGACTATAAATACCACTTGTGTTGCTTGTGGTAGTTAGCTATGATATGATCCTCATTATTAAGGAAGATGTGTTGTATTTTTCTGTGGAAAGAATGCTAAAATTCTCTAAGTGTTTGATGATTACCGAGAGTTGTGATGGCTTAATACTCTAAAGGTTTATAGTGTTTACTCAATAGCTTTTTTCATGGTGAGCTGGCTCATGTTTATGCATAAACAGCTGCTGGTTGTACAATGATTTATGACACCAAACAGCCAAAGAAAATATTAAAGAGAAAAATCACACAACTACAAAGAAAGATGAAAGTTTTCTAACCACATTTTTGCTCATCTTTGATAAGTTTTGTTTTAAATGTTTAGTTATCTTTCACGATGATTTTCTTCTTCTTACACCTTAGCCCTTTCTCTGCAAATAAGTTCCTGGCCTTTTGTAAATGTTCCCTTGTGTATCCGTCCAGGTGGACTGGCTGAAGAATGAAGATGTCATTGATCCATCGCAGGATTCCAATTTCCTAATCACCATTGATCATGACCTGATCATCAAACAGGCCAGACTCTCTGACACCGCTAACTACACATGTGTGGCCCGAAACGTGGTGGCTAAAAGACGCAGCAGCACAGCTACTCTCATCGTTTATGGTAAGACAACTTATTCGTTCTTTCTTATATTCCTTCTTCACAGCTCTTCCTAGAGACAAGACCTCCTCCCAATCATTCCGGATAGTACTTTTAATAAAGGTTTATTATGGTGTACATTACAAAAAAGGGACATTTTAGCATTAATGTTGTTCATTTTAGGCTATTGATAGGTTGACAACTTGTGAATGTGATAAATATAAATGTCTTCTTCTATGCTTGTCTTTCTCTGTGTCAGTAAGCGGAGGGTGGTCGTCGTGGACCGAATGGTCAGAGTGTAACGCTCGATGCGGGCGGGGCTTGCAGCGTCGAACGCGCAGCTGCACAAATCCTGCCCCACTGAATGGAGGAGCCTATTGTGAGGGCCTCTCACAGCAGAGGGTGACATGCACCACACTGTGTCCAGGTAAAGAACATTTCCCTTCTAATGTACTCCTGCATTGGGATATCAGGATACATCCCAATTAGAAGCAGCTGGAACTAGAATACACTTAAACTTTCAAGAAGCCATTAAACACCTTCTCCTCGTCTCTCTGGTTTACATCAAGCTTTCAGAACTGAAATGCAATCTTGTGTAGACATAAGAGAAACAAAGAGGTTGAAATGTTTTGCAGTCACACTTCTGACTTTGTTTTTGCTGCGTGTCAGCCTGCTCATGATTTAATGTGTTAAACTGAAAAAATAACGCTTTCAGCCATTGCATCTAACGCTACCTGCAGCGATGTAAAGATCAGGCTGTAACTCATATCTCTGTTGTCATTCCAGTGGATGGAGGCTGGACGGAGTGGTCAAAGTGGTCAGCCTGCGGGACAGAGTGCACTCACTGGCGCAGCCGCGAATGCCAGGCCCCCCCACCCAAAAATGGAGGAAAGCACTGCAGTGGCAGTATGATGGAGAGCAAAAACTGCACCGAGGGGCTGTGCACGAGAAGTGAGTCTCGGATTTCTTTAGTGACTTAGTCGTTTTAGAAATGTCAAGTTAGGGTAAATGTTTACCTTGATGTGAAATTCCCAAATCCCTTCCTTTTGCCATTTCATAGAGGACAAAATCTGTTGCTTTCAACTCACAAGTTCAAATATCTAGACTCCTATTAGGGCTGTCCCTGGTAGCATGTTTGCCGCGTCAGGTGATTGTTCAACTGATAACAGAAAAGCCTTGCTGGCTGTGATTTTTTTTGCTCCTAGTTCACAAATATAGAAGCACACCTGCATTTCAAAGCTATATTGTATTTAGCTGTGTTCCTTAGGTATTAAGCCGCTGCTGCACATTGAAAGTGAAAATGTGCCGGGAGATGGACTTTAAAAGAGCAAGTTACAAACAGATGATTCATAAGGGGAGATGTTGCTTTACCGACAAAGAAAGCAACTGATTCACGCCTAAAAAGCACGGACTGAAAGTGAGTGCAGAAAAGATAGAGAGAACAAGTGCAGGCTAAGAGAGTGGATGGAGTGGGAAGTGAGCATGACATGGCCAAGTCAAAAATTAGCACAAGGAAGAGCATATGAGAGTGAGTCAGACTCGCACTGACACCCAGTGTGCAGCCTGTGAGGAACTGGGAGGAATCCAGCTGACAGTGCATTACAATCTTAAAGTTGCATGTCCAAAAAGGCAGTGAGATACATTCATGTACACATTTAAAAAGTCAGGCCGGACTCTAAGCCCTCCGAATGCCTGGACATTGTGCAGAATTGGCGATCGTTTGCACACAGAGCATTACTGTGCTTTAAATCTGTCAGGCGGAGCTGACATAAACAGTGGCGAGATTATACACTTTGGCTGTACAGAGGAAAGCCGTCAGGAAAACAAGCCCCCAAGTGTCTCTGACTGAAAAAGAAGCATGGGAAGCACTGCTCTGTATAAGATCTGTCAGTGTGTAACGTACACAGACACTTTTATATTCCCTGCACGTTCATCTGATACTTCTGAGGTCACAAGCAGCCCCTCCCCCCCTTAGCTACTTTAGTGTTATACCCCAATCGCAAATGTTACATTTTCATCACCGACCAACATCTTCATAACTTCTCGGTAGATTCTAATTGATATTCAGACAAATGGCAAACTCTGGGAAGCCATTTGGTGTTTTGATGATGCTGTGGAGAAAAGGTTATTTGATTTGAGATCCACTAAGTGACACAATCCTGAAAGATGGTTTTGATATTCCTCAAACTGCTCAGTGATGATTCACATTGGCGTTATTTTGGAAATGACTACTCCCATTGGAGAAGATGTTTGTTTTTCAAAGGAAGAAGGTGATAACGTACCCCTTGGGGTACATTGACAGTCATCCCTGTTATTTCTAAAATAGTCTTTTACTCTGCCACTAGAAATGTTTCTATTCTCTTTAAATACGTTTACTGTTCTTTTATAGTGTATTTTTTCCATGTAATTTCTCTTTTTGCATTGATGAGTTTTTCTTATTTTTTCATTGCACTGAATTATTGTGACTTTCATTTGTGTAACAATTAGTACATACATTTTTATGTTTTTTTATTTTTTTTCCTTTCTTCTCTTGTTTTTTCTCCTGTTCAAACAGATAAAAAGATCTCTATTGAACATACAAGCCATCGTAAGTTCACATTTCATGACTTTGCTTCATATTGTCTGTGCGTGTGTGTGTTAGGTTCGGAGCTCTAACCTCTGAATTAACCTTTAGAGTTGAATGTGTGCGGTGTTTTGTGTCATCTCAGATCAGGTTCACTTAAAACAGGCCCCACCTTTTCGTCCGGCCTGTTTGTGTGTGTTGACGAACTGGAATTTGGGTTTTGGAGATGTCTTATAGTCTGCACATTGCACCCCATTGATCCATTATCCATGAGTTCTAAAGCATGATGTTTCTCAGTTAAAAACATTTGATTCCTCACAGAATATCTGTTCATCAGGGGTTTAGTTTACATTCGAATGATGATAATTCCTCTGTCTCAACGTAATGCGGACTCAGGGGAGAGTTCTCCCAGTAATGCACCTAATTTGCTATTGTTCCGTTTCTGATAATAAGTGCGGACGGCTGTCGGATTCTGTTCAGTCGCTCCACGTGAGAGCAGGAGCTCCCTTCTGCCAGCCCGCCTGCCTCCGGCTTTCTTCTCCTCCACACATCCCGATACCCTCACTGCCGCTCCGCAGTGTCTTTGGCTATCCTTATCTCCACTCCCCTCCTCAACACACTTATAATCCCTCTGTCCTCTCAACAAATCACAACCTTATCTTCCTCCTTCCTGTCACTTTTGCCAAATTGCTTCCTATCTAGCTCTCTCCTCCTCAGTATATCCAGCCTGTCTGCTACTTGCTTTTTTAGTTTTTATTTTTTTCTCTTGCTTCTTTATCTCCCGCCAACTTTGCTTGCCTCTTGCCTCTTTTCCACCGTGGTGTGACGGGCTCACGTGTACAGGCTGGGTCTGGCTCTGCCAGCATTGGGGAGTCAGGGCTAAGCAGGCAATGGAAATCCTGCTGACCAGTCAAGACCAATCACCCAGCAGGAGAGTAGGAGGGAGCTCAACAGGAAGCAGGTGAAGTCAGGGCCAGCCACCCCCTCACCCTGCTCCTGTCAATGCCCAGAAGCCCCCCCTGCATTGGAAGAAGAGCTCTTACTGTGCCTCTCTTCGATAATTAACCAAATAATGCGTATCAATCAAACATCATAGCACTCATTTCGCTCGGGTTATATTTTATTCCAACAGATAAGCAAGAATAGCCATGGACTTTTTTCTAAAGAAAGCTTCCTTAGGGGCAAAGTTAAAACGCTGGTTTGGTGAACATGTAGATGCTTATCAGTATTTGACTTACTGTATGGGACTATTTGGTTTCTCTATATGGGAGATAACGTGCTGTCAGCAAGGCACTGCGACTGAAATACCTTTGCTCTGAGCAAAAGCTGTAGATGTGATAATGACATTGTGAAGATTCTGTAGTCAATGTTCTTAATATTATGACATTTAGCATCAGTATCTGTGTCAATATTGCTTCACTGACTCAGAGATGATCTTTAAATTTCCCCTTTATCTAAAGCCTCATTGTAGATTTTAGAATGAGAAGGGTGGAGCTGTACAAGTTATTGCTCGTTTTTGCTCAAAAAGTCTGAAGGAGAATGTGGGTGGAAAGAATGGAAGAATGATATGTAGTGAGGGTCAGGCCACCAAAGAGTCAAGGCCAGTGGCTGTTTACATTCAAGAGAGAAATGCAGGTTTTTCCTCAGTGTGTAAACTGTGGGAAAAGATAATAGGGAATAATGTCAACATTCCACAGGTAAACCCATTAAGAACCTGGAGTTTGTGCTATCAAAGCTCATCTTTAAAATGTCAGTTGTCTGTTATTTTATAAAATAACCAGTAGTTTAGCTACTAACTTGATCTACAGTAGATTTTCCATTCCTGGTTGTGTTGTGTTAATGATGTGTTGACTGTCTGCCCCTTTTCCCCTGCTTTTAGCCATGGCCCCTGGTATGGGTGTGGCGGTCTACACAGGTCTGGTGGTGGCCTTGCTGCTGAGTGTGGTCATGGCGCTTTGTATAGGAGTGCTGGCATATCGCCGCCGATGCCGCCATCTCCACGGAGACATCACCGACTCTTCCTCTGCTCTCACCGCTGCATTCCATCCTGGAAACTACAAGCCTCCCAGACAGGGTGAGCTCCCACAAACACACATGTTCATCCATGTCATTGTTGTTGTTTGTTTTTCTCTGCTTTTTGTGTTTTTACATATTTTCTCGCTATGCCACAATTCATTCACTGTGACATTGCTATTTTTACCATCCCTTGAATTAATTTCCAGATGCCATTATCTCCTCTCAGTCAGCTCTCCATTCTTTACAGCGTTGAATTTTATACATTTTCAAGCATTTGTCACAGTGTCCGTTCTCTTGCTCTTGTCATCAAATATTAATTATCAGCGTTTATCCATTTTGTTCGTGTCACTTTTAGCCCAGTCTGTGTCACTTCCAGTGATAAGAGGCCTGTTTCTCTCTTTTTCATTCTGTCCACAGACAACCCTCACCCGCTTCATCCATCAGCTCCTCCAGATCTGACAGCTACAGCTGGCGCTTTCCGGGGGCCGCTTTTCTGCCTGCCACAGGGGGTCAATGACAGTCCTCACAAAATCCCCATGACCACCTCTCCGTTGCTGGACCCTATCCCCAGTCTTAAAATCAAGGTATACAACTCCTCTACCCTCTCATCCCTGGAGCTGCCGGCCGACGTGGGCTCGGGCGACGGAGAGATCCTCAGCCTGAAAACGGTGGGCACGGTGGGGAGAGAGCGAGAGTTTCACAGCCACACTCTGTCCAGAGAGCCAGGCTTGAGCACAAGTGCTACTCTGGGAAATCTGGGAGGACGCCTTACCATCCCCAATACAGGTAATACACGCTGCGTGAAGTGGCTTTTTCAGTGAAAACGGAATTCATTTGAATCCACAGTTGATCAGCAACATCTTATGTTGATTACACTACAAGAGGTCATAATATCTCCTCCTTCAGGTGTGAGCTTGCTGGTCCCGCCTGGCACAATCCCCCCGGGGAAGTTCTACGAGATGTACCTCATTATCAACAAGTGGGACAAAACAACGTTAGTGTCCTTCATCTTTATTCCTTTATTCCTCTCACTGCCTCTGCAGCCAGCCACAAGGCAGAATAGACCTCGCTCTCACCTCAATCAGTAACTTTTGCAATGCAATTCTGCCTGCTGTGTAGTCTATTTGGAGCTATTATCACGTTACCTGAGGACAGAAATTTGAACAAATGCCAGATGATGCCATGACAATTACCTTTTATAAATAAAGTCTGCTATTATGTTGCAAACTCATCTGTGGGTGATGATGCAGGTTACCATCTGAGGGCAGTCAGACAGTGCTAAGCCCGGTGGTGAGCTGTGGTCCCTCTGGTATGCTGCTGAATCGACCTGTGGTCCTTACCTTGCCTCATTGTGCCCAACTGGATACACCCACGCCCGACTGGACCCTCACACTCAAGACACAAACACACCAGGGTGCATGGGAGGTGAGAATTAAACTGGCCCCAGCGATGATTATCTTTTTGTTGGGAGAGGTGCGAGACATTGAAAACGCTGGTTCTGTTTTCACAGGAGGTACTGACAGTAGGGGAAGAGACTCTGTCTTCCCCGTGTTATCTGCAGCTGGAAGAGGAATGTTGTCATGTCCTCATGGAGCAGCTGGGAACATACGGCCTCGTGGGCCAGTCCTGCCCTCCGCAGCCTGCATGCAAACGCTTGCAACTGGCTTTGTTTGCCCCCCGAGCACCATGCCTCTCCCTGGACTACAGCCTCCGCATCTACTGTATCCATGACACCCCACATGCGCTCAAGGTGCCGCTTCTGTGTTCACATCTCCTCCACATACATCCCCTTTAGACTGTGTTAGTGTGTGTTTACATACAAACACTTCCCTCTCTCTTTCCTTTCTCACTGTTTTTCTTGGTGTTAGCTTCAATTCTAAAGATAACACTAAAATGACTGGGGGACATATTCACACACACATTTAGAAATTATACTCAGAGGGTTCTTTGTTTGGAGTTAAGTTTAAGAAGTCTTACCTTGGCACATGCATGTGGTTGACCATATATAAATATAATTTTTTTTAGAATATATAAATAAAGTGAAAAGATATGGCATGAATATAATAGGCACACAGTTGTGTTGAGCATTGTGCTGCATGTAGATACAGTAAAACCAAATGTCAATACCCACATACAGTATAACGAACTAGTTGCACAGCAGCAAGTCCCCAAAGTGATAATTTACTTAAGTAAAGATTAATACAGAATGTATTGATTTTTTTCTCCCCCATTTTCTCTGGCTAGTCTGAATAAGCAGTGGTACTGTATGGAACATTAATTTATCATGATAGCAGTCATGGTAGGCTCTGCTATTACTATGTTTTTCTCTCAGAGTATATTATATATATTACAGTGTTATAAATAATATATTATAGTGTTTAACTTATTATTTGAATTCTTCTTTAAAGTTTCTTGCATTGCATCTCAAATTAACTGACCACAAACATTTCCCCATGTATCACTTAGTGATTGGGGAAAAAAAGCCCTCCCACCTCTTTTTCTGCCAGACATTTTCTCCTCTACTCCTCTACTTATGAGACTCTTAAGCCTCTTAAACACCCACCTCCCTGCTCTGAACTGCTTTTTGGAGCTCTCTTAAGGGCTGAGATCCATTGTGAGTAACTTTATCTTTACTAGAATCTAGTCTTGAGCCCAAAGGCAAATTCTTGGAAAATATTCATATTTCTATGAATTTAGAAAACTATGATGCAGAATTTTGACAGTCGTTGTAGCTTCGCACCAGATAATTTCATCCAGTGCTGATGTGGTGATTATACACTTAAGAAGGCTGTTTGTTCTTACACGTGGGTTGTTGTACTCTTCTTTTTTTTAACAACAACCAAATTATATTTTTATTATAATTATACTTCTTAATTAGAATTCTTAGAACTTCTAAGTGCTTTGGATTGTTTCTTAATCTGAATTTCTAGTTTTAATATAAAAAGTGTCCTACTGGCTAAACCCACACTTATACAGTGTTCTTTTTTTATTTGGTCTGTCTATTTGTATATTAATAACAAATATCAGCAACATGAAAATGAAAAGATATTGTGAATGACAGACAAGAACCCTAGCTAGGTTTCTAAATATTTGATAACACTGCTGGTATAAACATGTTTGATATTATTTAGCAGGCGCACAAGAGGTAGAATGAATTTAATCAAGACTCCAATTATGGATGTAGGTCGTTTCAAATATCTGGTTCTTCACATGAGACCACTGATTTTGAGAAGTCAGACTAAACCGAAGATATACAAGTCTGTAAAGTTTTGTGGAAAATATGTCAATGTCTGAGTTTTGAAAGGCATTTGGTAATGATGTATTAATGAACTTATTCCATCATGAAAAAAGGTTTGATGTCTATTAACTTCAAATGTTGCTAACAGCTTGTATTCACTGAAAAGAAGGGCAAAGAAAGACGATTCCTCTGCTAAATTTTTTTGTTGTTTTCACTTGTAAAACCTAATGTTTTACAGAGACGTTTCAACAGAGTTTAAGTTCTGACACAATTCAGATGTTAAGATATGTTTTCGGCTTATTTACTGAAATGCTCATTTAGTAAACTAAGAGCTTTGATGATAAATAAAAGAGGTCAGATATTATTATTAAGTCTGAGATCGAAACACCACAAAGGACCTCAGCCATAATCATAATTATTAATTGATATATTATGTACTTAAAATATCCAGTTTACAATTCTAAATCATCATATATTACTCTTTTCTAATTTCCAAATGAAAAAATTCAAAAGCCACAGACAGATCTAATGCTGTTCGTCTGAGGGTAACAGAATGATGACATTTTGTGTTTCTGCCTAACCAGAACAATACAGCATTATTTTTGTCCAGATTTTTGTTTAATCCTCTTTCATGCTAATTTTGTAGAGGCTTAAAAGAAACAGGCACAATGTTTAAGCGATAATTGGTAAATTTGCTTGACGCACCTAATTTAAATAGTGGTTGGATTTGGTGCTTCTTGATCTAAACCTAATACAGCCCAGCTGGAGATTTCACCTTTGATTTGTAGCATAATTTGAAAACCCATTTGCCCTATTATCCACACACATGCAGCAATACACCCAAAAAGTGGTAGGCTATTAAGCAGTAAAAAAGTTCCACCTATCAAATGTGACACGTAATTAGAACAGGTTCAGATCTTATTTTAATTAGGTTTTACAATGTGAGCCTAAAAAGTCATGATTGAAAAACAAGGCTCACATAACAACAAGATATGTGAAGTGAAAAAGCATAACTTTAAATTAATTTAAATAATTATAAATAGAACATAACAGATATATGATGTTTGCACTGTATTGAAGTGCGGCACAAAATAATAACCCTTAAAGTTAATAAAAGATATTTCCATCGTTGCTTTGGGAAATAGAGACATGCCTTACAAATCCACCTTACTTCTTCAGATTCAATTTTGGTATGATATATTGAATCATCAGGCCCCAGAAGACACAAGTACTCAAAAGTAGAAAAATAACTGAGCTAGAACTAAACATTCAGTGAACATTTTACTGTCATCACAATCCAAAATGCATGACCTTCAGCTCTTTCAGCTCTCACACGTTTTCCACATTTTCTGCTATATGAACATCACACTTTGTTTAATCATTTTTAGAGGATTCATAAAAATGTGACGAGCCCCCCTCTCTCTCTCCCCCTGCCTCTGCAGGAGGTGCTGGATTTGGAGAGGAGTCTTGGCGGAATTTTGCTTGAAGATCCCAAGCTGCTGCTCTTCAAAGATAGCTACCACAATCTCCGCCTGTCCATCCACGACATTCCTCACACCTACTGGAGAAGCAAACTTCTGGCCAAGTACCAGGTGACACAATGCACGATGTATACTTGAGACATATCAGAAGTATAACTGGTGGACTTGATACTTTCTCTGCTGCATTCTCTCAGCCACAGAATAGAGATTACAGTCTGAACCTGTTGTGAATAAACAAACAGGAGATCTGATAGTGGACCTAATTCATGGACACTGTGCTTTAGACATAAATCTGAGCTCCAACACAGGGGGTACACAGAATTGTTGGCATCACCCATGATGAAAATAAAGCATTCCATCCACTCTTTGAATGGAAACTGAGTAGTATATGCTTCCAGACTCTCCTTTAGACAATAAACCAACTTTAATTGCAGTGCTGAGATTCTTTCTCCAGCTTTCTTCTTGAGCATCTCTCCTTTGTGTGACAGGAGATACCATTCTATCACATTTGGAGTGGCAGTCAGAGACCCCTTCACTGCACCTTCAGCCTGGAGAGGGGCAGCCTGGCTGTGTCCCAGCTCGCCTGCAAGATCTGTGTCCGGCAGGTGGAGGGAGAGGGACAGATATTCCAGCTGCACACAGACATCCAGGAGGTGAGGGTTACGGCTGAGCTCATCTGTGCCAAGCGGCGATAAAGTTGTAAAGCGATCGCGTCGTTATTCAAAGGCTGATCTCACTTCCTTTCGCTTCCATCCGCAAAACCAGACTCTGCCACCACACTCCCCCCTCCCCTCGGGAGGCACCTGCCTGCCTTCCTCCCAAGTGGGACCTTATGCCTTTCGCCTGCCTGAATCCATCCGTCAGAAGATCTGTGCCAGTTTGGATGCTCCCAGTGCTCGAGGGTGTGACTGGAGACTGTTGGCTCGCAGCCTGGGCTTTGACAGGTCAGATCTCTCATATGTCAGCTTGTGTCAGGAGCACACCTTCAACATTAGGAATATCAAAGTTTAATACGTGACTGTCTGTCAAGCTACATATTTTAGCTGTAGCTTGTGCAATATTAAAGTGTTATGAATCATTTAATGAATTAACTTTTTTGTAATCGTTGATTGGTTACTTTTTTTCTACTCACGTCTTGCCAAATCTCCCTTCCACCGCAGATATTTGAACTACTTTGCTACAAAGCCCAGCCCCACAGGTGTTCTGCTGGACTTATGGGAAGCATGTCACCAAGGTGACGCAGACCTGGTCTCTCTGGCAACTGCATTGGAAGAGATGGGCAAAAGTGAGGTGCTGGTTGTCATGACAACAGATGGGGATTGTTGATTGGGCAAGGAACAAAAGAATGAGCAAGATTTTTTTTTTTATTGCCACCTCCGTGATGAGAAGGAGAACACCTGCCCATGGATGTGCACACGTTGACGTGGATCTTTGACCTACAAAGAATTTTGGTTGCTTTACATATATTCATATTGTTCACCTCACCTCTTTTGCTGACTCATGATCAGCCGCTGTAGCTAGATATCAACCATAGCCCATCCCCATTATTGCAATCCAACAGCTATCCTGATTCAGCTTGAAGTCTTCAAAGCAATGTTGCAACCAGTTTGGGTATACCGAGGAATAGAATTGGTATCAAGTCGTCTGAAAAATGTGATGTCAACTGCCTTCTAGTACTGAAAATAACATTATTCTTGTATATTTACGGCAGTGCTTTGGGACAAATGCGAACATCCATGTATGTGTCACAGGCAAGTGCACATGACAACGGGGGATTGGCCATATTCCAGTAGCAGCATGAAAGTGCATGATTAAAACCATCTCACCTCATGGCAGGGACTTACATTTCTTGTCATTCAGTGAATGACAGGTGGCGCCATCCTGCCCACGGCCACCCGAGAAAACACACACTGCAACACAGGCGGGCTCCGTGGCCATTAGTCCACTCTGTGACACACAGATGAGGATTGCTTGTCTAACTGCCACGTAAGAAGATCGAGTCCTAAAGGTTCGAGTCATATTGCATATGGCCTAAGAAAAGCTGCCTTCTTCTTTGTGGTAGGAGATTGAATTGCAAAGTTAGTTTCAGAATTGGCAGATAACTCAGCTGACTCTATATTGTATCAACAAATGCCTCGAAGCCTTGGCATATCGCTCTGACTCGTAGGGGTGTTTCTCTTTCATTTCTCCTTGCATTCTTCCGTCACGCCGGCACACTCATATCTGCTGAGAATAAACCACATCATCCGTTAATAGTTTCCTTTGGGGAACGCCATTAATTTATTATCCATATTTGTGGATTACCTTTTTTGTTTGTTTGTTTCAACTGTCATCAGCACTACGTTAAAATAGAAGCTGTTTTGTCATCTTTGCTCATTTATGCAACTGACCTGCTTTTCATAGTTTTTTTTTTATTCAAGTAAAATGAGGCGATGGGAAGATGAGGTGCACAGCTGATATCTCCGTTGTGAATAACAAATCCATGTTTATGTTGTTCTTTTGTTTTGGGCATCTATTGAAAATGTCAAATATAAACTGTAAGACAACAGTAGAAATGATCTGGGGGAATTAACTGAATGCGTATTGTGGAAGTATTTTTGCTTTGCTTTAACTGAAGAGAGTTTCCAATTATAACAATTAAGCTAAATGAATAAATATATTTTACTTGATATCAGCCGGTCAGCGAGGAATAATTGCAGGTAATTTACCTCAACACAAACAAAAGTGTGTTTCTAATTTCCTCCCCATCATTCAGCTCATTATGTATCCCCGTTTTTTAAATTGAAACATAAAGTTGATCTGCTTTGTGATCAGAGTCCTCAAGCTGTTGGCATTATCCACATTGCTCTGTCAGTTTTTGTCAGATGGGAATTGAAAATTCTTTCATGTGTAACATCATCATTCTATTCATTCTGTGTTGTTGAGTCTCTTCCTCAAAGCAAAAAAAAGAAGAAAAAAGTGTTCATATCTTAAAATGATAAAAACCAAAACACCGGCAGTATCCCTCTTCTCCAGCAGTGAGTCATGTCACTGCTTTGTCTGAATGAACTGAGCGCATGTGTGTGTGCGTGTGTGAATGAATGAATTAATAGGTGTGTGTGGACAGTTGGGTGTGCATATTATATATACATATATACGTGTGTGTGTATATATATATTTGCACACATTTTTAATATCTGTCATTTCTCTCTGTAAGTGCTATGCAAGTACAAAAGAAAAGTGAAGCTTTTCCAATTCTTTTGTTTCCTGGAAGAGTAATTCTATTTTTTCAGATCAGGACATTGACAGGGTTTTCATTTTGTATCCCTAAAGTGGTTTAAGATTGGTTTAACATTCTTGGAGATGTTAATCCATGTGGGAATTCTCTATCAGGACTGGAAGAGTTGGATCGCCATCCGAGAAAGCAATCAATGTCAAAAACAAAGTGGTGCAGTGGCTTCAGCACAAGTTGAAACTATAATTGTGGACTCGTACCTGCAGGTCTTTGCTGTGAAGACATACCTGAACACAACCGGTTCAGTGCTTTGGATCCCTGAACACTTCTCTTAATTCTTGTTACAGAGACTGGCTAGCTTTAGACTTCAGTGTTTGTTCCTTCAGATTTCTTCAGTGTCTGCTGGATATTTTGCCATATTGCTGGATAACTTATGCTGGAGCTCTACTGGATTTAAACATGCTCCCTTTCAAAGAGATAAACTCAGCCTTTGTTCAAGAAGTCAGACATTTTTATGGAAAACTAAATGGATTCAGTGACATTATTTTCTCTCTGTAAAGTACCAATTGTAAATAAATGTCTAGCCTTCTTACCTGTAACTGAATATAATTTTTATGCAATAAATTATATTTCTTAGTTTAACAGGATTGTTTGTATGTGTCTGTTTGTCGCTGAGTTCAAATTCAGTATTGGAGAGCCAAACACTTCACTGTAAGCAAATCCCTCACAGCTTTTCTCTGGATCTTGGCACTTGCTACTGTGAGACTAAAGTTGGCTTCTTTCATCTTCAGTTACACCTTATTTTAAGTGAAAATGGTCAGCCTGCGCCATTTTACTTCATACCTAAATGGGAGAATTCCCTTCAGGTCCATTTACCTTTAAAAGCTTTTAGCTGGCAATCTGACATGCCATCACAATTACAAGGTCTTAATGGTGGTCTTCAAGGATCGAGCTGGGCATTTACATCGAGGGTTGTAACCTCTGTATTTTTTAATGACTCTAGGATGTGCGGGGACTTGTTGGATTAAATTCCTCTATTAAGAGCTAAGTGAGTCGTCTCCAGTGATTGTGCACTACAGCAAGGTTGTAATGACAGGCGACACTTTGCACCTTTTTTATTAATTAAATGCACTGTTAATTAAGGATTGACTTAGCACCTTTCAGTGCAGAAGTTAACTGATTCTTTTATCATTTGTAAAATGGTGGTGCAGCAGTGGACTTCATCCTGACTCAACCGTTTCCTTAATCACAGAGCAGGATGTCTTTTTTTTTTTTTTTACCTTGAACTATACAGAATTAAGAGGGAGGCTAGTATTAAATTAAATACGGGTCAAACATAACCAGTTTTGAAGTGCGTGCATATAAGCACATGAATAAGCACTATATTTCTCTTGTGTAAAATACTCATTCGTTTGAGTTAGTTTTTTATTTAGTTCTTTAGATTTGGGCCTTTTACATGTCATAACTGTTTTAAATAATAGGTTAATAAAAGGTTCTGCCCAAATCTTCTTTTTTGTCTCTGATTTATTCATTTGTTTCCACTGTTGTCATTTAACCTTTGAGGTGATATTTTCTTTTCTTTTTTTAATCATGAAGGAATTCAGCTAGAACTACTGGCCACATCAAACTTCTGAGCCTGGTCAGCCTGGTCTCGTTGGGTCCACTGCACTGCAGCGCCATCTTGTGGTGAATGCAGCAAAGTGAATGCCCAAACCACCTTTTTGGAAATATGGACATAAACAAAAACAACAACAACAAAAAATCAATATGACGAGTTTGGGATAATTGTTAGTTTCAACTAGTATGATACGTGTTTCGGGTCCTATCATATTTATGAATTAATTACTAGTGAAAAGAGACCTTTAACGAAGAGAGAACAAATGTCATCCCAATATCATAATTGTACTTAAATCTTTATTCTGAACGGTAGTCGTGCAGCAGAGTGTTGTGTTACGTTACGGATGGTGTTCAGTTCTCTATCAGGATAAACATACTTTGTGTTACCAAAGATATGCATAAATATTTATTGCCTAGAAAGGTTAGTAGGGATTGTTTGAACTTTTAACGTCAAAGGTCTTACAGTAGCCGAGCTAGCTAAATAATTGCGTACCTTCTGTGTGAAAATTTGTGCACATGAGGTTCATATTATCTGTTATCATATTACGGGCATAATGTGTGCTTTAATCATACAAAGCTATGCAAGTAAAGGCGCTTTTCTTCAACAAATATCCGGTCTATCAAAGTAATGTAACACCCGATGTTTTCTCTATTAAGCTATGAATAGGAATTTCTTCTCTCAAGTAGTCTAAAAATAAAAATAGATTGTAATATTAGTTATTAATGTAAAAATAGAAAAAAAGGAACCCGAAATCCTATATATTTTGGTTTGGTTCCAATTTGTTTGTCTCTACTGTTGCAACAGTTTGGCACCGGAAGTTCAGTTATCGATGGTGACTTTCAGGAAGCTACACAAATTATCAGCTGACCCAAGTCGACGTTGGCTTTGAAATTGGACCTTTGTGTCGGGAAATCATTGCGAGAATGACACGCAAGAGACAGCACCAAGATTTCTGAGATAATGAGAGGTACGTTTGTTGTTTTATTATTTTACTGAGAGGAGCATGTAGCACGAGTCGGGGTGGTGGCTACATTTGTTGTTTCCAACTTAGCTAGCATCTAGTATGTATCCAGAATCGACCAAATTAACTAATCGTATTCTGTCTTACAACACAAATAAAGCAAATGTCAAACCGTCGCCAACAAATTATGATATAACAGGCAGTGAAGTTTTGCGCGGAGCTGTAAAATATAGTTAGGAGAGCAGCTAGCTGCTTACTTTTTCTTCTTCTTTTTAGAGAAACGGCTGAATGTTTTCCCTTAGTTAAGCATCTTGCAGAAACTAGTTCCTCATTGACACACCTACGATGCAAAGTCAGCTTTGTACGAATATACCACAGTCCCTGTCCTTTTGCAGAGGGATGTGATGTCTGTTGGTGTGTGTGTTTGTTCCCACGGGAGCGCCGTCCGCCGCTTGTTGTTGAAATTCCTCACGTGACCTCACAATGCGGAACACAGAAGTGTGTGATCCAATTTGCAGGTACTGCTTATAGTCAGTATTCAGTTCAAGCGGTCACATGCCTTTAAACACGAGGTTCTGGGCTGTTTGATCTGATAGAGCATTTAACGGTGGCGCTTGATGTGTTTTGGGCATAAAGGAGATAGAGGACTTTCAGAATACCTTGGTGTCCACCTTCATATTGTGAGGATGCTTACCATCCAACAGTGGCACATACATAATCCTGTGACATTCCACATTTAGACTCCAGTATGAAGCCTCGGTTTATTTTTGTTCCATTGTAAACATAACGACAGTAGGCTCATAAGCTCCCTGCTCCCAGTCCCTCTGACATGTTGATTTTATGCATTGCAAAGAGGCTGATCCCTGGATTGATATCTCACAGCTATGTGATGGAGATCTCGGCAGACCATAGAGCTCTGACATGCAAAGCATTTTTTTTTGTCATCGTAGTTTGAAGTAAGCGTCATCTAAAACATGTTCTTGGCTGCAACGTTATTATATCCCGAGGATTTTGCTCATCTCTTACAGCGATTTCTCTGTTTGTTTTACTTTCTGCTCAGATTTCTTTTACTGCCTTCCATCTAACGTCTTAACTGTGCAAGTATCCTGGTTCCTGCGGGTGAAAAATGGACCACACAGAACCTGGGCTGCCCATCGTCAACTCATCGTACGTTCCGATTTTATTTGCTGACCAGAGCACACCAGTTGAGGATGGGGAGGATGAGAACCACAGCCCCTCTGCGTCTCTCCTCCCGAAACGTTCCTCGGTGCCGCTGGCTGTGCGCTACAATCCGGAGGACTCGTACTGTCTGGTGTACATCATCTTTTTCCTGATGGGCATCGGCTCCCTGCTGCCCTGGAACTTCTTCATCACAGCCAAACAGTACTGGCTCTACAAACTTAGCAATAACACGGATCAGAGTGAAGAAGAGGAGCAGCGCTCGGACCTCAGCGTGAGTAGAAGAGCTGCTCAATACCACTGTTGTCTGTACACACAGGAAACGGTCATTTGTGCGATTCAGCACACTTCTGACACGGTGCTGTCCTATGACAGACGATGGGATGAAATGACCTTTCGCATCACTGAGAAATCCCCTTATAGAACAATAATGCAGTTAGAAATGCCTCAGGGCATGTTTAACAGCGAGTTATATTAAGGAATGACAAAGGAGTAATACAGGATGCGAGCAAATGTATGTGTACTTTTATTCAGGTTAATCCTCAACATGTTTTTTTCTTTTCACAGGACTACTTTGAAAGTTATCTGGCCATTGCCTCAACTGTGCCTTCTGTGATGTGTCTGATACTTAACTACGTCCTTGTTAACAGGTTGACTCCCCCGTACCAACACACACACACACACACACACACAGACTACGTACTGTGGCCTGATTTATTTTGTCTGCAGATCTTAGGACAGAACAATGCCACATGTCTTCCATGTAGCAGCCTGGAGACCAAACTGTAGTAATCTAATTTATGCTTGGAGTGTACCTTCTCTGGGACTCTCTGTCTTTTAAAGCCTTTTGGATTTCACATGAACATTGTTAGGATTGTGTATGTTATATGTAATATAGGTGACAGTTTCTTTTTTTTTGCTTTTGTTCTTTTTTTAAGACTTCCTGACTGCAGTGCAGAAGCATTGATACTGTGTTCATTCAGCTCATCTTTGATGACATCAGCCTCATCAAAGAACGTGTTTGTTTTGGTTCATAGGCTGTCTCCAAACATTCGAATCCTATCGTCTCTGTTGGTGATCCTCTTGGTGTTTGTGGTGACCACGGTGCTGGTGAAAGTGGACGTGTCAGACTGCAGGAGGGGATTCTTTATCGGCACGCTGTCCAGTGTGGCTGTGGTCAGTGGAGCCTCCAACCTCTTCTCCGGGAGCATGTTTGGGATCAGCGGCCATTTTCCCATGAGGATCTCCCAGGCTCTGATATCAGGTAGAGTCTTTATTCCAGTCTGGACAGGTACTGGTTTCTTTTGGACATCTGTTTAGGGACAGCGTAAATGTTTCTTTTTGCCAGTTAGCATGTCTTAAATGTAAATAGGTGTAAATGCCCAGATGTTTTATATTTCAACCGTTTATTGTTTGCAGAGTTTATAACATGAGACCTTTTTCTGTTTTAGGCCAGGCCATGGGGGGCACGCTGAGTGCCACAGCATCAATAGTGAGTCTAGGCGTAGGGGGCGATGTGACAGACAACGCGCTGGCTTACTTTCTGACAGCTGATGTCTTCATCCTGCTCTGCATCATTTCCTATTTGCTTTTACCAAAGTTGACATATTCAAGGTCAGTATCAGCAAAATAGAAAAATAATGTTCAACTCACCTGCCACACCGTCACACCAGAGTATTACATTTCTGTAAAGATGCCGTTATTAGAGATGTGCGTTTTACCTTTACATTTAGTTTACACATGGCATTAACAAGTGATTCATATATTAGAGCTAACAAACAGCACAAACCTATCCCTGTTTTACTTTGCAGACACTACATGCTGGCAGCGTCATGCATCACTCCAGGAGCAATCAATGAGGGCCAAGAGGCAGAAACCCTCGTCCCACCGCTTCAGCCAATCCTTAAGAAGGCCTGGGTGCTTGGCCTGAGCGTCTTCTACGTGTTCTTCATCTCCATTACCGTGTTCCCTGCAGTATCATCAGGGATCCAGTCTGTCAACATGGACAGCAGCAACCCATGGACATCGACCTACTTCGTGCCCATCACCAGTTTCCTCCTGTATAACGCGGCAGACTTCTGCGGCAGGCAGGCCACGGCCTGGGTGCAGGTCCCCGGACCCACCAGTCGGCTCCTGCCTGCACTGGTGCTGTGTCGCTCCGTCATGGTGCCACTATTCATGTTCTGCAACTTCCAGCCACGGGACCACCTCCACACTGTCCTCTTCTCCCACGATGTGTATCCTGTGGTTTTCAACTGCCTGCTAGGTTTGTCAAATGGTTATCTAGGAACACTACCAATGATCTATGGCCCCAAGGTGGTCCCCCGGGAGCTGGCAGAGGCCACAGGGGTGGTCATGTCCTTCTTTCTTACTTTGGGATTGGCTGTGGGGTCTGCGTTCTCTGTTCTCATAGTGCATCTGATCTGATTGACTTTAAATGACGTGTCATGTGCAGCTGTGTGGCTGGAGCACGTGCACCTTTTGCAGATGTGATGCAAAGTGCTCCAGGACGGCCGGCTGTCTGCTGTGAGGGACAGTGCAATCATGCTCTACACTTTCACCGGACCAACAGGTCAAGACCTGTTTTTACCTCATGTGGTGCGTTAACAGAGATGTGACACAGGCAGCCCCTGAACTGCTATTTGGAAATGTGCCAAGGCATGCTGCGTTTATCGTGTCTGACCTTTCAAAACAGATCAGAGTATTTTAACGTGTACAAAAGCATGTAATTTTTTTTGCTGAGGGATTGGAAGGTCCGTAAAACAAGTTGTAAGCGGTATGTGTATATAAAGACCACTTATTCTTGGATAAGTGTGGCTTTTTGTCCACCGCTGCAGTCTTTGTGAACCGAATAAAAGGAGGTTATTTTTGTGCTATCTGAACTTCTGTTTCACATCATTATCCTGCTTTATCACTGATGTCTATGCAGTGATAAAGCCTAGCTACGTCTGAAGAAAACTGTTGGCAGTTTAACTGTTTGTAGTTAACCTGATTTGTTAAGAGACAGAAGATTTGTGTACTGAGCTTTATAATGAACTTTTAACTACAATTCACAGCAGTGGTGTGGGATCACTTTAATTGTTAAAGTTTACAGATAAACTGACAATTGGCCAGAAGTTTCAATGCAAACACATTTTAGATTCTTCCTGTGCTGTAGAAACAGTGATTTACAAACAGTACGAGGAGTGCAAACAAGGGGAGGTAACCTCCAAATCAGCTGATTAAAAAATAGTCTACAAAAATCAGCATCCGTTCACAGGTCAAATGTACTGCTGGAAGTAATGCCAGTTATAACTACACCGAGCGTTTTTTCAGATACAGGGGAAAGTAAAATAGCTGATGGGGTATAAGCTGTTTAGACAGCCCAAATGTAAGGAGAAAAAATCAAACTGTTACAACATAAACAGCAAGCAGAAAAAGAAGAAAATCCCAACAGTGAAGTTCTGACGGCTGCTTTCTGGAGCAGCAACAGGTCAAGTTTCAGGCCAACATATGGAACCATTCCCTCTGTACCCAATAAACTCAAATGCCCCCCCCCCCCTCCTATAAACAAAAATAAAAACAAACAACGTCCAGTCCCTTTCCACTATAACAAATTAAAATAGCAAAGTTAATTTTAAAAATCACACATTGCAGTTGTTGAAGCCTTTTAGAAATTAAGTGGGAAGCAGCACTACAGTATTTTCTTTTATTTCCCGGTCAGTTTGTGCATATCCTCCTCTATACCCACACGTGGCGTTGGCAGTGAGCCACAGCCTGGAAGAGAAATAAAGCAGTTTAAACAGCGCTGTCACGCCATCACTGCTTGCTGATGATAGCTGTGTATGAAATGACACGACTACATCTATTCAGTTCATCACTCTCGCTCTTACGTGTAAAAAGGTTCATATACTCACATTGCACCGAGTAGCCGTTTCCATGTTCTTGCACCAGAATTCAGGTCCCCATGTACATTGCTCTGTTCCCAGCAGCCTGCGAGCAGCTTCTGGACACGCTCCCAATTTCTGAAACATGCATGAGAAGCTCAGACACCAACGGCATGATTAATGCCTTTTGTTGTCCCTTTTAAGCACAGTAGTCCTTACCGTGCACACGAAGTCTGGGTCGAGCATCTGGAGCAGCAGCTGGACGAGCATAGGCTCATACTGTTCGATCAACTGGTCACACTGTTGGTGGACACGAGGTAAAACATCAGGGCATCTCACAAAATTATACGGGCAGGTAAAGACATAAAGAACGCAGCCACTAACCTCAGTCTTATAGGAGTCGGGCAGGAAGCTGCACACCTTCTTCACAGCCTCTTCAATCTCAGCCTCTGTAGCATTCTTCTCCAAAATGCCATCGACGTAATTAACGGCCAGTTTACACACATCACAGAAGCCACCAGCCTTAAAACGGGTCTGGTCAAGTTTAGCTGCAAAGAGTTTGTACAAAAGTTATTACCTACAAACTGAAAGCACTCATTTGGTTACAGAATTAAAAAAAATATGATACAAATCTATTTAATTTCCTATGTAGACAAGAATATAACAACACACTGCAGCAAAGGGTGAACTACATGCATGTTTGAAAGGTAATATTCATTACATGCATGGGCTGTACACAGGGCTAGCTCCCTGCCATCATAACAACATATCCATTTAAAGTTTTGTTCACTGGCATTTGCTGTGTGAGAGTGAACTTACCGACGTATGCGCGGCTGGCATCATTACAGAGAGCGAGCACGGTGCAGACGGTCTTGGGGTCAGCCTGCTGCACCAGCAGCTCAATGATGGCCTGGCCGTACGTCTCAATCAGGTCTTTACACTGGCCGGACAGAGAGGAGGGCAGAAACGTGCACACCTTCTCCACAGCCTTGATAACCTCCTCCTAAAATGAGACAGACGGGTCAGCATGCTGGGAGCAAAGTGCACAAACACTGTCTGCAGCCTGTATTCGGTGTATGTTATAGACACAGACAATACAGGCGCAGCACCACACATCCCACCTCTGTTGCTTGGTCTTCCAGCATGGACTCCAGCTGTTTCATCACAAACTCACAAATGGCACAGGTTGGGGAATCCCGGACACGCACCATGGGCTGAAACACAGAAGACCGCAGATTCTTATGTACACGCACAACTCTGTGCTCCATGCGGCTTCTATCATCACCTTCAGAAACGGTCAGTTCCTCTGCAATCATCTACCTGAGCTGGTGCAGAATCCACTTTGGTGGCAGGGAAGAGCTTGGCGGCTGGGACAGCTTTAGCTGCAGGGATAGCCTTGGCAGCCTGAAGCTTCAGCATGGGAACAGACTTCTTGGTGGCAGAGCAGAAACCAGCCAGGGTGCAAATCTCCTTGGGTTGCTGGGGACAAAAGAAGATCATTATTATAGGGTGAAAAGACAGTGAAAGCAGGTAAGGAATACCACTACATGCAGTTAGCAAAACAAAGGGGATCTACATGCCATTCCACAATACCATGCAAAATGGAAAGGTTTCTTTGCAGCCGGGAGAAAAAGAAGCCTGCTTACCATTACTGAACACAGCAACACACACCCACAGTGGCAGAAAAAAAATGAACAGTGATGCCAACTGAGGCCTTCTCAAAGGATCAGCCTTAGCTTTAAAAAGACAGCCATTTTTTGTGACCAGTGCATCTCTTAGCTTTCACCTTCATACATGCTGAAACCATCAGTGTATTGTTCCACCCAAAACTCAAGTCTGTGGCTCCCAGTTTCAAGTTTTTAAAGAATTAAACCACAAATAACAGTTTAGTAGGTCGAATAGACTAATTGTTAGTTCAATATTCACAAGCGGCATCTGTGAGGTGCTTAGCACTAGAAGTGGACAGCACAAGGAGAGTGAACTAAGGGTTAGAAGGTTACAGGCTGAACACAGAATGACCTACCTGTTCCTGAGGAGCAGCACACAACCCAGAGCAGGATGGGAATATATATGAAAGAAAAGAATTTGAAAAAGGAAGGGGAACAAATAAGGAGCAGAATGACACAGTTGAAGAGGTGAAACACGAGGAAAGAACATGAGTAATGAAGACAACACAAATGCAGAGAATTTGGGGGAAAAAAAAAAAAACAAGAAAGAAATTAAAAAGCTATTTAGAGCAGTGAATGAACTGAAACCAGCAGGCCAGGTAGTGCTGCTGCAGGAGCAAACATGAGCTAGGCTCCATCACAAATTATCAGAGGCAGTAGTACTAATGGTAAGATTGCAACTGCCTCTCAGATGTAATGGCTAGTACAACTTAAGTGGCTCACATGTAAAAACATACTTAGAAAAAGGATTAATAAACCCTCATTAGCTCAAACCTATTATGTGGGAGGCTAAGAGGACTCACCATGGACATGAGCTGCATGACCACAAGGGTCCCATACTGGCCAACATACTGCTTGCACTGCAAAGAGACAAAATACAGTCAACATAAGATGTCTGCTTTAGTTTGATAAGAAATAAGTTCAAATAAATCTGTAAGAAGTTCTGAGGAACCCCCACCATATCTGCCAAGCCTGGTCCCAGCAGGTCACACTGGTTCTCAATATTCTGAATGAGAGAGTCGATAAAGGAGGAGTTGGCCTTAGCCTCTGCTTGAGCGTCAGTCAGGAACTTGATGCAGTCCTGGCAAACTTCATCGCTTCCCTGCAGGGGGAGAGGATTCACGATCAAAGTGAGACAATATGACACAGCAGCATAACAACGTAATTGTGTTCATGGGGGTGCTGGGCTGAGCAACATACCTGCTGCGCACTCTCCTGCTTAGGGGGGTCCTGTTTGAGGCTCTCCTGGGGGTACAGGAGCTGGGGCACATTGAGCAGAAAAGGAGCCACTGGCTGGGCAAGGTCCATCTGTGGAATCTCATTGGACATGATCTGTTCCTGGGTCTCAAGCTTGGCCAGAGATGCCTGCTGAGATTTACAGAGTCCCATGGCACCACACGCCACACCTGGATCCTCCTAAACCAACAAAAGCAGAAGTTAACTCAAAACATCATTTAAAAAGCCCTCTAAACAGCGAGGGCAGAAGTGATTTACACTGAATAATTGTTACTTCCGTTATCAGTGTTTGTGGAAGGAGACAGATAACTTTGTCAAATTTCCCTCATCATGAGATTAAGTGTTACACAATGAGTGCTCTGTTCTCATTTAGACTTAAGTCACTTCCCCATCAATAGCCCCTTTTCAGTCCACTGCGCTTTGCTCACACAGCCACTTCTATGTCCCCCTCCCTCTCTTCCGTACCAAAGATCAGATGGGTCATCAACAACATCCAGCACAGGGGCAGAAACTTAAAATAACTAAATCTGAATTCCATTTTAGCAGGACATTTGGCTAAACATTAACACATTCTTGAGGGCATTTCACATTGTCCAGATTGAAACTGCTCACCAATTCCCCAGTGATGATTCCAATGAGGATGGGGTAGTAGCTGTCCACCATCTCCTTGCACTGCTCAGTCAAACCTTGATCAGGGATGAGCTGGCAGGCCTTCTCCAGGTATCCGAGAATCTCAGCCTGCAATCATAGAAAACATATGCTGGACATCATCAAACAGTCTTTAGATCTCAAATTGGCGACATTCAATTACAGTTAAGAGATATTATGTCAATTATTAGTTCCAAGCACTATTTCTCACCTCGGTTGCATTGTCCTTCAGCAGCTGCTCCACCACCATCAACACCTCTTTACACAAATCACATGGCACCGATTTCTGATGACAGACATTTGGGCGTGTAAATATAGAATTTGCTACATGTCCCTCACTGAATGTATGTTGTTCTACAGATGTTGATGCTAGTTTTTGTCATTGAGAGTACTTGAAACCGTAAGAATAAATTTAAATTCCTCTCACCATCTGGGGCTTGTTCCACACATTCTGCTGGCAGTGAGGCACAGCTCCACACAGAGAGGCTGTCTTTACATTCTGACACCAGTAGGGAGGACCACGAGCACACTGCTCAGTGCCCAGCAGAGGGGTCGCCACAGCTGCAAGGCAGAGAAAAGGCACATTTCAAACCATTAGCCATGTATAGGCTATAGACATAGGCATGTATAGGTATGATAGAACATATAACTTCCATCTCAAATTGCTCAGGCTAGATTCATAAAAGATTGACTTCCCATTGCCCAGTCCTGCCAGCAGTGACCAGATAACGAATTCTGCAGCCAATTTCCTTTAAACCCTTCCAAGAGGAAGTTAGCAAGAGTTACCTTCAAGATTGATGCTTCTCCATACATGTTCTCCTAAAGTGTATAGGCAGAAGTACAAAAAATAAAATACAAAATTCAGACAACAGCCTGTCCTCAATTAAATTGAGTGAATGTGAAACGTAGACGCATGACCCAAGATCTAAAGTATATTTTATATGCATGGTTGGTATTGGCTAAGATTAGGTTTCATAATGACAGCCTCCCAGTTTCCAAACACGTTCCATTAAGTCTTAAAACCAAAGGTCCAATCAGAGAGGATCTGATACAGTCATAATCCTCCAATAGTTAAAAAATCCCTTATAAAAACAAAGTTATGCAAGTGGAATTAATAAAACAAACATGTACAAGCTTGCCAGAGGCATTGTGGGTAAATACCATGCCATTTGTTTTCAAACCTCTACCAAGGACAAGAAAAAAAAAAAAAACACCACTAAATCCTATTAGCATGAAAAACAGAAGAAAGCAGACGGTAGGCAGCAGCTGCACAAAAAGATTGCAGAAGTGAGAATCAGCTCGCAGGATGAACACATTTGATCTTTTAAGTGACCGATCACCCTCCAATAGTGAAGTGAAAGTGCAGCTATGTGGGAAAGCACCCAACAACCTGAAGTAACACTTCCTCTTCATCTCTTAAAGAGAAACAAACTATCTACATGTCATAAAGCATTAAAAGAACAAGACAAAAAAAGCTAGCAAAGACAAAAGCAAGTGAACTTTGCTTACAATAGTGAGTTTCTGTAAAGTAGTGACTCAGATCAATCACCCACCATAGGCCACAGGGCCCTCCAAGCCTCCGCTGAGTCACATGAGCAGGCAGGCAAAATAATAAGCTGTTCTCATGCTAACAGGCTGATCCAACTATGTCGACATTTCTGCGAACGATTTAAAACTACAGAAAACTCTTCTCATCAAAAGAGTTATGGTAACATGATTTTATTAAAGCGTTATTTCTAATGGCTACCTGGTCAGCAACCCGGTTTAGCAAACTATGAGAATGTAGAAAGTCCGCAATATATGAACGTCCTTGAACTGTGTTACGTCTAATGAACGTCTAGAAAAAATAACAAAAAATGAGAGAAAAAACGGTACATGCAGGAATGCGGAGAACACTCATTTTATCCAGGTCAAAATGAAAGTAGACCAAGTATCAAACCCACAAAAAAAAAACAAGAGCTGCTGTTTGAAGGCAACCATGATAACCAGCTGGAGGAAAGCCCAGCTTTTGCCCTGATAGGAGGTAAACATTACAATATTTTCAAATCACAATTCAAATAGAGTGATCTAATATCAAAGGCAGAAACAACCTTTTTGATCAATAGCCGTTGTTGGTTTCGCTAAAAATGACCTGACTGACTGACCCAGTTTAACTCTACAGTTAAAACAAGATAATGAGAAGGTTACAAGCGATAAAGTGGAAGAGAAAAAATAAGATTTTTACAAGCTACTAAGACTTAAATGAAAAGCTTTAAACCGAACTGTTGGTTTAATTGAGCCAACGTTGTTCTGGTCCAAATAAAATAAAAAAAACGGGTGGACCAACAAGGCACCTGAACTCAACTTGTTCAAAATAGGGCTTATCAGCCGAACACAGAAACTCCAAGCTACACGGAAACGAAGACGGAATGGGACGGGGCTCCTGAACGTCAGCCAACCCCCTCTTCAAATGACCATTTCCACTGTTTTTATTGTTTTTTAAAAGCCACACACTCATTAGAATGTTTATCGTATGCTCGCATAGAAACGTCAACGCCAACTTGTGTTAGCTAACAGGCTAACGCTCCCTAGCAGTTCCCACCAAAGGCCACAGCAAACCTCAAAGGAAACACGGTCACCGTGTCAATTTGCACCGCTTATGTGATTGTTTACGTGACTTATCTCGATTATGCCAACACGGAGTTAATTTAACTTTAAAACACAACACCTGACAGTAGCTGTTGTGGACCGTTTAAGTTAACTTGTTTACCCAGGCTAACGCCACTTAAAAAGCTTCCTCGTATCGCTAATGAAACGCACTTCGTTGCGCAACCAAAAACCTCCTATTGAGGCCTGATAACCGTCAGAATTAAAACCAATATATTGCTCACAACGCACACAGTTGCTGCGCTGTCTGGCGGAATTACCTGTAGACACCAAAAGCAGAGTTAGGAGGAGCATGACTGCGCTGTTGGCCGTGTGTTTTTCGGTTGTTGTTGTCGCCTGCTGAATGGTGGCTGCTGCAATGCAGGCGGAGCGCGTGCGGATGTCTTTATGATGGCTCACTGTCAGCTGACTGCTCAGCCAGACACGTGACCCGCTATCAGCTTTGATCCGCTGGACTCTTGGTGTCAAAGATTGAAGACCTTAAAGTGGGTTTTTGAAAATCGTTCATGTACGTGCTTAACTTTGTGTTCTAAGTGAGTCGAGTTAGTGTTTGTTAGTTATTTCAAGCAGAAATGAGGTGTTTAGATGTTCATCGTAAACTTCAAATCTGGTAACTCTGCAGCTTTATCACACCCAAAGCCATTACTCAGTTATTTCTAAATTAAAATGTCTCAAACTGTATGTATATACAGTCCATTTAAAAATGTTTTCTATAATTAACATTTTAAGTTGGGAATCCTTTGCTAAAGCATTGAACTTCAAAGGTCACTTACCTAAGTGCTTCTTGGTATTGATGTTGTGTAAGATCTAGCTTAAATGAAGCCAACACATACAACTGAGGATCTCTCCTCTAATATACAGAATCTAAAACCTTTTTTAAAATGTTTTGAGGTTATATCGGATGGCAGTTCATGCAATATGCTCAACGATACATGTAGTTTGTAGGCTTAGTGGAAATTTGATTGTTCTCAGAATCAATTCTGGACAACTTATATTCCTTCAACTAAATCTGAAGCTGAAAAGGAACAGAAATTCCTATCACATGACTGAACATCACATGGAACAAAATGTCTTCTGTGAGCTATCAAGAGAAGAACAAAGTTTTTAACAAGAAGGAAAAAAAAGTTTATTATAATTTATGCCAGCAGCCACAAGCGAGGTCACACAGGGAAGAATCACACTGTTCTGACTGGACAGGACCAGTGAAACCTGTAAAAAATAAAAGGAACAGGCATTACTCAAGAGTTAGGTTACAGTACAGTCAGCAAAACAGTGCAACAGAAGGAAAAGGGCCCATTTCAATGAACTTTCTAAGCTGGTGTGTTGTCAGCACAAACAGTGTTAACCTTTTTCTTTAGTAAGGCTCTACTTAAAGTTAAAGAAAAGGCAAATGTTTCTAAGCCAAAATTGAGTCCCCACATGAAAACAGAAACCCTGCCGACCTTAGAGGACATTTACATTTAGCAAAAAAAATTGTTTTTGGGGAGCAGGTCTGAAAATGGAGTCGGTTTCACATGTCTAATCACTGGGCGAGTTTCTACACACTTAATTCTGCTTTCACATTTCTGGGGCTTCCCGTCATCTCCCCCTGCACATAGCTCAAAAACATCATTTTGCACAGATTCTTTTTCAGCAGCCTGCCTGATATGTCACAGTATGTCATATGTACATCTGACACAATGGTATAATCCTGCTGAGGCATAATTATGCACTAATTATAGAACATGGTCCAGCAAGATTTGACCTTTTCCAACAGATATTTTTGCAGCGTTGGCGATTTCTAGTTTGCCATCATATGAGCACACAGCTCTCCATTTGTGTGGTTCCAGTTCCGCCCTGTACCAGATGGTGGAATGATTTGTTGGTCTTATTAGTTTTCCTGTACTCTCTGATACCGATGCACTCAAGCAAGACAGTGCAAGATTTACATTCTCCTCCTTTTTGTTTTTACCTTTTCTTATCACGCTGTTATAAAAAACTACAAACCAAGAATTTGTAATGGCTTGTGTTTAAAGTCCCCTTTTGCTAAAAATGGGCCTTTCAATCTTACTAACAGGTTCAGAAAATGTTTTGCCCGAAAACAGATTTCATTGGCAATAAATAGTAATTACTGCTTTGGGTATTTCTGCTTTAGTTTCACCAAGTGGATGTAGGGCAGGTTGTATTAGTAAGAAACTGAGGAAAAAAAGGGGTAGTGGTAGAAACTGCCTATAATGCCTTCATGACAAGGGTTTAGCTTATCCTACTATGATATAATTTTTTTCCCCCCTTAGTTGTAAGAGTGCAAAATAATGCTCAAATTGTACATGGAGTACTTCTGTGTGTGTTCAAGTGAAAGGCTGACTTCATGGAATATGAGGTTTACTCAAACAATGATTTATGGAACTTATGGTTTTTGACAACTTTTGCTGACTTATCGGGCCACAGACAGTAAAAATGTAGACTCTGAATCCTAATTGAAGGCAACATTTCACTGCTTTCCACTATCAACCCAACCTAGTACTGAGGTAAGTATTTTAATCATTCCTCTTATGACATTCATGGTACTGTGAACTATCTAATGATTTAATACATCTCTCTCGACATTTTCTGACTCCTGATAGTTTGAAAAAACAAGAAGAGAGATTGACTAACGTTTGACCAAAAACAATCAGGCTATTCAAGTTAAACTTTCCAAATATTTTTCATTACTTGTATAAAGTAAATATGTTCATACACGTTTGCTCTTTTCTATCATTTATGTACACATAGTTTTCTTCAGGTATGAATTGGATTTCCATAAGATATACAGTACTGACAATTTTGTTGCAACCCTGAATGCATTCACGGCAATTTGAGATGTAACAGCTGTACCCAACTATTTAAAATACTCTTGCCCCTAGCCCAGCTGTTTTACGACAAATGCTGATGACCTGTCTTCTGCTGCCATGCCTTACATTGACTCACTGCTGCGGACCACAGCAGTTACTTTGGGAGACCTGGTCTTCTTTCTTCAGCACAGTGGGCCTCACCACATCCACGTCACGGTGCAGGTGATCCAGCAAACTGTTAAGGATACTGGGGGCTGCATAGAAGTCGACAAGGAAGAAAGACCCTCGGATGTGCCTCTCATTGTGTTTGGTTATCTTGTAGGGCAGCAGTCTCTCTCCCAGGTTGTCTAAGTTTCTGACCACGGCGCCCCGCTCCATCAGAGTCTGCACAGTCCGCCGCAGAGCAGCCGCCGTCTCCGGCCGCTGCATCGCCTTAAGGATAAGGGCCAGTTCGTACCGAGGCATGGCTCCTGAGAAGTAGTCCTTGCTCCACAGACACCTTTTTATCCTGCTAGCACTGGCTAGATGTCATTGCCGTGGTTTTCAGTTGAACGTCGACCATGTTATGACACGAGGGACAGGAAAGGTCCTTCCTGGTGACGTAGAAAACATGCGCCTCTGTTGACATAAGAAGAGGAGTGTTTACTTAAAATTCGCCTGTTAAGACCAAATGAATATAGTGTAGCTGCTTTACTACTATACATTTTTGTAAATTTACGCATATGCATTGTACAAAAATCCAATTTCAAGAACATGCACCAGCAACAGAGGTCTTGCTCCATTCTAATTCTCAGTTAATTTTCCTTAACTGCTGTGCTTTCACCCAAAAGAGGGCGTGGTTCATCTTCTGAAAATATAAATGTTCGGACCAAATAAAAAACATCGAGCAATTTATGAGAACTTTTAGAAATAGAAATCAACAGGCACGGATTTAAGGCGACTCTTGACGTCATCATTAAGCGCCTCCGCTCCCTCAGCATTTCCTTCCTTTCCAGAAGGAGCGTGGTGAAGATGGCGTCGCAAAACTCGGTGCCGAGTGATCTGTACAAATCCGTGTACACATTTCTCTTGGAAAATAAATTCACTAAGGCGGCCCAGCAGTTCCTGAAGCAAACAAAAGTTGTAAGTAGCTCGCGTTGGATACTCGGTAGCTCGTGCTTGGTGCTGTCTACCTTAAGTCTCACTGGGTTGTGTGGTCCCCGTGGAGGACCGAAAAGCCCTGTGAGATCAGCACGTGTGACAGTACACGCTGTGCACTGCCGTTTGTAATTGAAGTAGTTAATAATATAAAGTTATATAGCAACCAATTTGCATCCTCTATATGTTGTTTTGGCTTTAAAATATCCTAAATCGTTTTATTTACATAATTCTTTTTTCTTTCTCGTTAGAATCCCCAAGATCAAAATGAAGAGAGCCTGGTCAACATTTACGACTTCTGGGTGAAGTGAGTTTCCTTTGCAGCCATTTTTCGTTGCATTACTTTTTGTTAACAAATAAGAACATATACAACTAATCATGTCAACATTCCTCTTGTGTTTCTTTAGATGTGCAGTATATATTAAAGCTCACTGCATTCAGTCTCTTACGTTTCAAGCTGAGTAGAGGTCGATATCCGCTTAAAGCCTGAGTAGTTTTACTTTTTTAAATCGTCAGTGTTGACACATAATCTTTTGGTAATATTACAGAAACCCTGTTTTGTATATTCAAATTGAGTTATGGAGAAGCTCTGGATATCATGCAGTGTCTCCTCATCTTGACCAAAAGTCCTGTGAGCAGATATTCATTAAACATTTCTGCTGAAATTCCTCACAATGACCATCTTTTTTCTTTTAACACCGGAATGTACAAGTCAAATCAACAAATGCATTCAATGACTGGATCATGCGCAGTTTAACACACACATAGCTGTAAATGCTGCTGTGGTTCCTCAGGAGCTAGTCTCATGGGAATGTGGTATAAATAAAAACTTGTTTTTCAGAAATACTTGTGTAGAGGACTGAGTGTGGCATTTTTCTGAACTTTGTAAGGGACTTTTTGCCTCATTTACCTAGGTCACCTGAAGCCAAGAAGCGAAAGGCACCTCCAAATGAACCTGGAGGTGCAAGTGGTCCGTCGGCCAAGAAAGCGAAAACCAAGGCAGAAAGCTCCAGCAGCGAGGAGTCGAGCAGCGATGAAGAAGCTGTTACTAAACCGACGAAGCCAGCTGCAGGTGAGAATGATGGTATTTCCTACTGAGGTTGTCTTTTCTTCTGCATCTTTAGCAGAATCTTAGCTGCGTTTTTGTCTGCAGCCAAAGCAGCGCCTGTGAAACAGGGAGCCGCTAAAGCTGCAGCTAAAGCTGCGTCCAGCAGCAGTGAAGAGACCAGTGACTCAGAGGAGGAGCAGGCCCCCGCAAAGACTCCTGCAAAGGTATGAGAACACGTCCAAATGCCAGGTTGATGCCAAAATGGCTTCATATGCAGTCATTGAGATGTTTTTTTTATGTAGCTTCCAGTTAAAGGGCCAGTTAAAGAGACACCAGCTGCTGCTGCTCCGGGCACCACAAGGAAAAAGGACAGCAGCTCCAGCAGTGAGGAGTCCGACTCTGAGGAAGAGCAGCCTGCCAAAGCTCCTGCAGCAAGTGAGCCAAAAGGCCCAAGCAACAGAGTAATTCAGCTGTCAATGATTAGAAGTAACCCAATGTAAATCTGTTGTGTACTTCTGTATAACAGAAACCAAAAGTGGGGCTATCGCCACACCCAAAGCAGCCGTGCCGCCCAAAGGGGCAGCTCAGAAGAAGCAGGAGAGCAGCAGCAGTGAAGACAGCTCCTCAGAATCTGAAGATGAGCAACCCGCCAAGGCTGCCAAGGTAAACATTAACTCTGTATAGTCACATATCCTTTTTGTCAGACATGGACCCTTTGGGTCAGTGAGGTCGGCAGTCAATAATAAACCTATTTCATGTGTTCTGTAAGGCGCCAGCCAAAGCTATACCAGTAAAGAAGGCAGTGGCACCAGCTGCCGAATCGAGCAGTGAAGAGTCTTCGTCTGAAGATGAAGCTCCACCGAGCAAGAAACCCAAAGCAGGTGAGCATTTGCACCAGAGGCGCAGTGGGACAGCAGTGAACAATGTTTATTATTTTTACATTAAGATCAAGTTTAACACACCTATAGAATACAGAGAATTCAACAGAGGTCTTCATTTATTTTCGATATTTTTACTGTTCTGAGACCGCCCCTTTAACACAAACCCCAGAAACTGCATCCATCTGGTGTTAAACCCTGTTTTACTTGATGCTGCTCTGCTGCCTCCATCCTGTTAGGAGCATACAGTGCCGTCCCACCCCCTGCCTCAGTCCACAAAGCTCCTCCTGCACCAGCCGTCAAGAAAGCCAAGGCCGACGACTCTTCAGACAGCAGCGACGACAGCAGTGATGAAGAAAAGAAAGCTCCCGGTAAGAGCAAAAGAGAGATGGAAAACTATCATGTCAGCATTTTTAATGATTGTCTAACGGATAGTGAATTTGTGCAGCAAAACCAGCACCAGTGAAGAAGGCCAACGCAAAACCTGCTGCAGCCAAACCTGCTGCAGCCAAACCTGCTGCAGCCAAACCTGCTGCAGCCAAACCTGCCGCAGCCAAACCTGCCGCAAAGAAGCAGGAGTCCAGTTCAGATAGCTCCGGTAAACGTCGGCAGTCAGTCGCTTTATTCCCAGGCTGAAGCAAAGCTGAGCCTTACATTCTGAGCAGGTTCTTCTCTGTCACACTCTTAGATTCAAGCTCAGATGAGGAAGAGGCTAAGAAGCCTGCCGCTAAAGTCACCCCAGCTAAGGCGGCTCCAGTCAAGCCGGCCCCAGCTAAGGCGGCGCCTGTCCAACAGGAAGACTCCTCAAGTTCCGAGGAGGAGGAAGAAGAGGAGGTGAAGAAACCTGCAGCAAAGGCAGCCCCGGCTAAATCTGCCACAGCTACTCCCACCGCTAAAGCTCCACCTACCAAGACCGCCCCAGCTCAGGAGTCCTCCTCAAGCTCAGGTGAGAGAAATCAGAGTAAACGACTCACCTCTTCCAGTTCCATGTCTGCTTCACGGCTGTTCTGATGTGCAAACGGCTATGTTCATTACATGCTAAACTCTCTAATTGTTCTGGCCTTCCATCCTCATTTCAGATAGCAGCTCTGAGGATGAGGCTCCAGCTAAACCCTCAACTAAGACCTCAGCTCCAAAGGCCCCTGCTGCTGCCTCTAAACCCCAAAGCAAGGCAGCGGCATCCAGCTCTGACACAGACGATGACTCTGAAGAAGAAGAACCGGTGAAAAGCAAGGCTAAACCTGCAGCTGTTAAAACGGCTACACCTGCTTCAAAACCGGCCACCCCCGCAGCTAAAGCTGCTGCAAAAGAGAGCAGCTCAGAGTCTGACTCCTCATCAGAGGATGAAGAGCCAGCAAAAGCCAAGTCTACACCAGCTAAAACGGCTACACCTGCATCAAAGCCGGCCACCCCCGCAGCTAAAGCTAAAGCTGCTGCTGCAGCAGAGAGCAGCTCAGAGTCTGACTCCTCATCAGAGGACGAAGAGCCAGCAAAGGCCAAAACGCCACCTGCTAAGCCAGCTACACCTGCAGCTGTTAAAACGGCTAAACCTGCATCAAAACCTGCCACCCCTGCAGCTAAAGCAGCAGCTGAGAGCAGCTCAGAGTCCGACTCATCATCAGAGGACGAAGAGCCAGCGAAGGCCAAGTCTACACCCGCTAAAACGGCTACACCTACAGCTGCTAAAACGGCTAAACCTGCATCAAAGCCTGCCACCCCTGCAGCTAAAGCTAAAGCTGCTGCAAAACAGAGCAGCTCAGAGTCTGACTCCTCATCAGAAGACGAAGGGCCAGCGAAGGCCAGGTCTACACCAGCTAAAACGGCTACACCTGCAGCTGCTAAAACGGCTAAACCTGCATCAAAACCTGCCACCCCTGCAGCTAAAGCTGCCACCCCCACAGCTAAAGCTGCTGCAAAAGAAAGCAGCTCAGAGTCTGACTCCTCATCAGAAGACGAAGAGCCAGCGAAGGCCAAGTCTACACCCGCTAAAACGGCTAAACCTGCATCAAAACCAGCCACCCCCGCAGCTAAAGCTGCTGCAAAAGAGAGCAGCTCAGAGTCTGACTCCTCATCAGAGGACGAAGAGCCAGCAAAGGCTAAACCACCACTAGCTAAAACGGCTACACCTGTATCAAAACCTGCCACCCCTGCAGCTAAAGCTGCTGCAAAACAGAGCAGCTCAGAGTCTGACTCCTCATCAGAAGACGAAGAGCCAGCAAAGGCCAAGTCTACACCCGCTAAAACGGCTAAACCTGCATCAAAACCTGCCACCCCTGCAGCTAAAGCAGCAGCAGAAAGCAGCTCAGAGTCTGACTCCTCATCAGAAGACGAAGAGCCAGCGAAGGCCAAGTCTACACCCGCTAAAACGGCTACACCTGCAGCTGTTAAAACGGCTAAACCTGCATCAAAGCCTGCCACCCCTGCAGCTAAAGCTAAAGCTGCTGCTGCTGCGGCAGAGAGCAGCTCAGAGTCCGACTCGGAAGAAGAACCTGCCAAGCCGGCGGCCAAAAAACCAGCTCCAGCAGCGACCAAGAAGCCTGCAGCTAAAAAGGCAGCAGAGAGCAGCTCTGACTCCTCCTCCGATTCGGAGACGGAGGCCAAGCCTGCCGTGGCCAACGGTAAAGCGGCGCCCTCCAAGTCGACCCCCACAGCAGCCAAGACGGCGCCTGCAGCTAAAGCTGAGGAGAGCAGCTCCTCCGACAGCTCGTCAGAAGAGGAGGAGGCCCCACGCAAAGCGGCCACCGCCCCCACCACCCCCACAGCGAGTACGTGTGAGCGCGCTCATCGTAACCAGGCTGTTCTAGCGTCTCCTTTGTTTCTGCCGGCCGGGGACCTCGTAGGATGTCCCCGCTCTGCTCACAGTGGTGCTGACCTCTCCTTCCTCTGATTCCCACAGAAACCAACGGAAAGAGAAAAGGAGATGAAGAGTCATCAGAAAGTGAGGAGGAGGAGGAGGAAACCCAGCTGAAGACGCCAAAAAACAAGAAAGTAACGACCACACCTCAGACCTTTCCGAAAGCCAACAAGAAGGTAAGAGCTGGGTTGCAGTAGCTGGGGTTTTGTGGAGCAGCTGCTTCAAACGGGGCGTCTGACCGAAGCCGCTCTCTCTGTTAGTCCTCCAACATACCCTTCCGCAGGATAGTGGAAGAGCACGTGGATGTGGACCCCCGCCTAGCAGACAACTCCTTTGATGCTAAGGTGAGCTAACTTTACTTTTTTTTATTTTTTTTAATCTTTTAAATCCAATGACCTTCCGTCAAAAATAGTTAGCGGACGTCTGCATAAAATGGCTTTGATTCCAGTACGGGGCTAATGGAGACTGGGGCCAGAAAGCCAACGACGTGCTCAAGTTCACCAAAGGCAAGTCATTCCGCCACGAGAAGACAAAGAAGAAGAGGGGCAGCTACCGCGGAGGGGCCATCTCCACCACCGTCAACTCCATTAAGTTCGACAGCGACTGACTTTCCCACTTAGTACCCATGTGATCAGGAAGAGGCCGTTTGCGCCCCCGGCCTCACGAGAACAGTCTGATATCAGCCGCCAGCAGCGAGATCCAGCTGGCGCTTAGATTCATTGAGCCTCTGTAAGTCTGTAGTGGAAACTATTCATTTGATCATTGATCTGAGCATTTCCGCCTTTTTAAAAATGGATCACTGGAGCCAAACGGATCTGTTCCGACTGCTGGGTGACATCTGTGTGACCACATTACTTATAGCCACTAGGTGGCTGCAGGCTCCAGGCTTTTGGTTCAGTTATGTCCTTACCACCCTGTCATAAAATGTGACTTTACCTTTCATTTATCTGTGTGGATGACAGCCCTCCATTCAAACATGTTGCTCATTGTGTTTTCTTTAAATGGATTTCATGCATTGTTGTTTGTCAGCTTTTATTTGGCTTCACTTGTGGGTTCGATTGGGTTATTTGCGCTTTTTCTCTCTCTATAAGAAAGCATTACAGTTGTATACTGTTTATTAAATTTTATTCCATTTCACCATTAGGGACCTCATCTGTTCAACATGCATTTCTTGAAAAAATTAGTTTTGAGATTTTAGTGTTATAATTTGATGCCCACGCTGACCCTCTTCAGTTCTTCAGTGGTATGAATTTAGAAAGCCTTTGTTTAAACTACAGTAAGAGTATGTACGGTACCACTGTCATTTTTTAAAAGCGTTACTGTAAATAAATACATAACAGTAAATGAAGCCGTGATCATTTATTTCAAATATATATCTGGCATATTGATGTTTAGTCATCAGACCATCATAGATTTTACTCACAGATGACAGGACGTGGGGAATGAGAGGAGCTGGTATCTTCTACACGAACAGCAGATGGCAGCGGGGCGCCACCACAGCAGAGCTGAGTTTCCAGAGGAAATGTGAAGCAGAGTCCAGTATCCAGTCTGTCAGAGTCCAGGCAACATACAGCACCCCACCCCCGCTTTATTTACTCTTCATTTTTCAAATGAGTTCTGATATGAGATGGCTTTAACATACCATAACATATATTTCAGGGCCCTGTAATAAGTTATGCTCCAAAGGTTTGAGTCCTCCATATCTGCACGAGTCAGCTGAAGCTCTTCAGTTCACCGGTGCACTCAGCTGAAAAAAAGAACAGCTCGCTTTCTGATAGTTCTGCAAGCAGCAGAACAATTTACAAGAAAACCAGCTACTTCTAAGGAGCAGCTTCTGTCACTGGCAGCTCCTTCCAAGCGGAAACGGTATTATCTGAACTTTAGAGTACAGACTCTTTGCAGCAGCGCTTCTGAGAAAAACTAAGTCTGTAGGAAGGTGATTCTTTTCCACCTCAAATTGTTTAAGGGACCTCTTATGATAAGTGGTGCTGTCAGGGGGAGCCTGTAGTCATTCTGAATGCAGGCTGACGACAGCCCCCCGCTGAGCCGTGCTTCAGTGCTCGCCCCACATCGCTGACAGACTGCCGGCTCGGGGTCCACATGGATCAGCTGCCAGAGGGAAGTTTCTGCAGAACTGTTGCCGGGCAGTTTTTCAGAGAAGGTGCGGCTGCTGCTGTTCGCGGAGGCCGTTTGCTGCAGTGTGTAAAGCTTGTTAGAAACATTCACTAACCCAGATCCAAAGCCTTAGGATGGATGTGTTCCCACTAAAGCGTATCGATAAAGCAGTAAGGCGGTAAACTTTTTAGAAAAATGCAATATAAGGTGGAAATTTTGGGAAGAACCCGGGTGACGAAAACTGATGAGGTCCTTCAAACTTATCTCCTCCTTGGCAGCCACTCCTAAGCACCACTTCGGTCTGCCGGTTGCAGCACGTGGAGGACAGTTAGTTTCAGGCCACTGCAGCAGAGTGTGAGAGGAGACTGCAGGACAATCTTTTAATGGGCGGCAAAGGCCAGGGACTGCCCATCCTGTCTATTTCAATTAGCCCAAACTGCTGACTACTTGTATAACACACAGCCATCATTTATTGCCGTCTCGCACACTGCATGCTAACAGATGCAGTCCAGTGTGTATTTTCCCCTAAAACATGTTACATCACATTTCATTACACATGACAAACGACTTCGGAGGTGCCCCCGTGGATTAGTGCTGCTAATCCCCGGCTGCGCTTTTCTTCTGTTCAGAGTGAAAACGAGAATAGGGCAGCACCACAAACAACTTACCAGTCAAGCGGAACGCAGTCATTAAGAAACGAAGCTACATCAGTTTTTTTTTTACATTATTAAAACATATTTAATAGAGCATTTCTTTCTTTTAACATCCATTTCATATAAAGCGTTTCAGTGAGCAATAATAATTGGAAGGATAACCACATTGAACATTACAGCGCTGGGTAAACACGAGCATTATTGATTTTTTATGAGAGGAACATGGAACATTTGGAACAGAAATTCAGGGCTGTTACCTGCACGGTTCTCAGGGCTGAGCCGGCAGCTGCAGCTTTAAACGAGACGACTCTTTTCCTCTCGTGCCTTTAGCTGTCCAGCATAGAAAAGGTAATTGGGGGTTTTTAGTGTCTGCCAAAAAAGCTGATGGCGTCTTCCTCCACAGAATATGGAAAAAATAAACATACAAATATCGTGTACTCTAAAATATACAAATACCCATAATGCCTTAGACGGGCCCACCGGAGAAGCCTTTCAGTACACACTGCGCTGCGTCTGGATTCAGTCACTACACAGATAGCATGAACTACTGCAACATGCGATTATATTTATTGGTGCCCCTCCGAGCTGCAGTCTTTATGAGTTCGGTGCGATAATTGTCTATTTGGATGAATGAAACCTGCTGGCGTTCTCTCGTCTTTGCTCACTGTCTCCCATCTCCACTACGTCTTTGGTGAGGCCCAGTCCCAGGCGGTGTCCTGGGCACACTTCCACATGGCACGCACCAGCCGAGTGAAGCCCATGTCTTTGGGTTTCTCCAGCCCACGCATCAGCCGCTGCTTCATGATGGCTATGAACTCCTTATTACTGAGCTCCCCATTCCCTACAGCAGACAGGTGAGGGGAGAGCAGCGATGGACAGGGCAGAGTATGAGGAAATAATAAAGAAATGAAAAGGATGGGATTTTTAGCTAATCTCCCTTCCGAGGATACTGTTTTCTTTCCATGTATTTCCACTTACCGTCACAGTCGAACAAGGCGAACACCACATCACACACATGATCTGACAGCTCCACCTTGGCTACAGTGCGGGCCACCTGCTTCATGGTAACTGAGAGACAGAAAAAGAAGCGAGTGAGTGGGCACAAACGCGCTCGAGTCAGCTCAGGGTTGGAACACGTGGAGAACACTACACAAGTCAAACTGCACCGGATCAATACAAGGCAGGCTTTCTATTCAGCGGGGAAACATGAGAGAAAGAGGCTAATAGGAGGAGAAGGAGCAGACGGCAACAGGACATCGAGCTGAGAACCAAGCTTGCTGAGAGGAAAGAAAGAGGGAGGATGTGAAAGGAAATGATTCCAGTGTTAGAAAGGGAAACATGGGCCTTTCAGGAGACTAAAAAATAAGAAGAATAATTCATTACATGAATTAAACAGAGGGAAAGAAGAATAACCACTAATGGCAAAACCTCCAAGCACCTCCAAGCAAATGGCCACATCATGCCGAGAATCTCATTAGAGGCGTTCCTTTGTATCATTCAGAAAGATGCTGTGCAGCCTGACCCAACACACCCACATATATGAAACTGCTCTGAAAAGGTGTGAAATGATTGGATTTGAGAGGGAATTGAAAGAAATGAAAGAAAGGAGGGAGGGGAACAAAGAGCTGCAAATAGCAGTAGCTGCTTCAGGCTGGCAGAGAAGAGCTTCAGAGTTTCAGAGCACGAACGGCCGTAGGATCCAAAGGATTTCCAGACTGACGCCTGGCAGCTCTCCACAAGCGCACAGCAGCCTGATGTTTTCAATAGCCCTCCAAAAGACACTCACGAACGGACTGACACCCAAACACAGCTTGTTAGTGTGCAGAAACGCAGCTGAAGGCAAAGTCGGGAACCCCTCGCTCCTTCAATGCCGAAGCTGTTTCATCAGTAAATCGCAAACAGAAAGCAAATGGAGGCCTAGTGATGGGCTGATTCTCTGCAAGATATGCAGGAAACGGCGATTCATCAAACTATTTATATTTTATAAAAGCTACATGTGTTTAAGGGACGTACAGCTGTTTCATTAAACTGGTTCGTTAAAATGAATGTTTCATTAAAATGAATGTTTCATTAAAATGAAGCCCAGGTTAATCATAAGTGATAGAGTGTAAGACTTAAAGTCTTCATTTGGAGCTTTTTGTGCAGCTGTGTCCATGGTGACATGTGAAAAGGGAAGTGTGATAGTGTGAGTCAATGCATATTTTTGGATTTCTGCAGTTACGCATGACTTAAACCTCTTTTAAAAAGCAAAAGACAGAGCCTGGCACTTTGCTTGGGGCTCTTAGTTTAGATAATATCTCCTGTAGTGAGAAGCAGATACATCACACACACAGCTTGGAATAGACACAAACAGCCATCCCATCTTTATCTCCATCCAGGTTCAAAATGAAATCAGGCTGCATCCGACGCATCTTTCATGTGTAAAACTGTCTTCCTTCTGCTATGATATTAATAACAAATTCTCTCAATTCCCGTTTTTAAAACAGAAAGTTGAATGTTATGATTCTCCATGTATTTGAATGCAGCATGATCAAAACCTGCTAGCTGGCTGTAACATTTTAGGGTGCAGTAGTCTAACAAGCAGGCCGGTTCATTGCATTATGCAATGAACATAAGATTATGCCTTAAAGAGTGATCAGTACCAGCGGGACATGGCTGAACTAAAGGTGAGAGAAACGTACACATTTGAGAATAAAACAACCCAGTAATTATATCCCTATTAGTTTGCTTTGAGGTAGCCGGAACTCAGTTTAATAGATGTTCTAACATGAGCTCTCAGGCTTTTCTGTATTCTGCCATCCTGTAAGGGTCTGAGCGTAAGACCCTTAGAATAGAGGGGCTACAGGGGTCACTGCACACCATGAATTTACACCAGTGCTACCTTTGTGGTTTGGGTGTGTAATGGAACTGTGGTTTTTCTCACTGAAGAATCGTACATAGTTTTAGTAAAACCCTCAGGAAATGGTGGATGCTAGTGAGAAAATTTTGCTTTGTGTATTTTGAGATGAAAGAAGGGGCAGCTGGTTGGAAAATCTCCAACTCCTTTTTAAGGTAACCTGGAGCCCCACTGATGAGGGATACAGCAGCCAACACACGAGAATCACTGTGATGTTGTATCATGCTTCCTGTTTATCCATAAGTTTGTCCGAATCGGTTTTAAAAGGGTATAAAATATGTATATTGAATTGTCTCAAGCTAACTAATGAAATACACTCTTTGTTGTTTCAGAGAAAAGATGCAAACACCGAAGGATGTATCAGCGCAGTCCCCCCCACCCACTGACTGGCTGTGTGACAGTGCTGGCATGTGTCAGAGAGCATCAGCAGTCAGTACACCAAACATGAGCCCATCCATCATGTGTGCATAAGCAGCTCTCAAATTTACATATGCACTCTACGACAGGACAGAGGAGGATGAATGGATGGACGAACAGTTGACAAGTAGCTGAGTTAGGACTGGGAGCAAAGCCAGACGGAGAACGATGTGGGAAGCAGATCTGGTTGGCAGGGCTCTAACAGCTCTGAGAGGCAGACAGTGACAGGAGTTACGTCTGCAGGGCAGTCATTAGGAGAAAAGTGTGGGCATACCTTTATCTATGGAGGCTCCTGCCATGTGGTAGAAACTCAGCGCCGTGTCCACGTCATTAACGTTTTTTAGGAAAGTGAAGAAGTTCTCCACCTCCTCAAAAGTGATTCCCTGGGCAAAATGAGAGAACAAGGATGAAAAACAACACAAAAATGTTCGAGACTGCAAGAATGGGCTCTGCCCGCTCCTCTAAAGGCCGCTGCGACAGGACAGCAGGGTGGCCTTTTTGCGAACGCCGCGGCGTGACAGAAGTGGACAGAAGCTTCCCACACACATGGATGAACAGAGTCCCGGGAAAGGACAGGGAAACAGATGGTTTTAAACACATATGCGCACATACACACAAGAGTGGACCTTCTATCACACAGTTGCTGCTCTGCTGATGAGCTTGTTTGCAAAGAAAAGCGAGCAGCTGGTCTTTGGCAGTAAATAATCTTTTTCCTCTCATTTACATTACCGGCTGAGCCAAAGCTGAGAGGCAGGGAGCAGGAGAAGAGTGGATAAATGGTGAAGGATGGAAAAACAGACAGGGATGCGATACAGCCTTTTTTAACAAATGGGAGGAGCGTGCAGCTTGTTATTTCTTCTCTCATCTAATTGCTCTATTCAGCCATCAAACATGCTTTTTCACAGCTCAGTCTGACATCTCAGGTTCTTTAATCTATCAGAAACAGGGGCAGCCTTTGAGTCTAAACCTCTGAGATGGGATACATTTTCTATAAAACATTTGAGGATAATGGGCTTAGGCGGGGCTTGACTCGGTTGACTGATGGGACTCATTACAGTGACGCAGCAGTAGCAGGAGACACAGGAAAGGAAGGCACACATGGAGGTGGGCTAGTTTACACCTGTTTTGTCCATTTGTTGACCTACAACAAGGTGATACTGGTGTAAGAAAAAAATCCCTTTTTCCCCAAAACTACTAATCTTACAGTGAACCTAAAGAAGTTATTATGAGTGAAGAAACAGGGTAATGCTACAAAGACTGAGACAGCTGAGAAAAGGATGAGGGGTGCCCTCCTGCTCCTTCGGGGAGCGGTTACTGCTCCGTCTGAGGGGCTGCGGAACACTGCTGAGTGCTGGTCAGGTGGGTAACATAAGGTTCTGAATGTGCTGCTCACTTTCAGAGATGTATTACCTCGTATCCTGGCTCTCACAAACACAATTTCCCAGCCCAATCTCCTTTCTCCCTCAGGCACACACCACATTGTCTGTCCTCCCATATAGGTCAGTTCGTCGAGCCATTCATCAAACAGTCTACGTGACCAAACAGCGCCATCGTTTATCGAAGGCTTTCATTACAGCATAAATAAAAACGGATTTATCCACCTGTGCATCTTTGAACATTTTCTTCAAGCCCTTCTGCATCTGCTTAAGTTTACGAGATTGGACGCCACTGTAGGCCAGCAGCATGCCCCCGAACTGCCTCTCTGTGATTCGGCCATCCACAGGATCATTCCTCTCAAACTGGTGGGGAGAAAAATAAGAACACGCAGTGACACAAACAAATAAATATGAGAAGCTCTGGGATTTGGAAAATTGTAAATAAAGGTGTCAGGCCTTAAGCTGATTCATGCATGGTTCTGCCATCGGTGGCATCAATTTTGCATGAGCATTTTTCCTTCATTACTTTTTAAGAATGGCTTGGCTGGAGGGTGACTTAACAACAGTGGGCTTTGCCTGTGTCAGGTCAATACAACAGATGTTTTGCTAACAAACGTCTCCCCCCTTACTCCTCTCTGAATGTGTTGGCACCTGAAAAGGTTCATTCCTGCCCTGGCAGGCAGCATGTCACTGAGTCAAAATGAACCTGTGGTGCATGCCCTAGAGGTAGCCTGATGATTTAGGAAACCATCTAGTCGCTGCTTTTTCGTGAAGTTAAATGGCCTCTTAGGATGGGAGCTCTGGGTCTTGCTTTATGACATCCTCAGCCTGTATAAAAACTAATGCGTTTCTGAACTGACGGCTATCATAAAAGTTTGAAAAATAACAGAAAATAAGGACAGAAATAGTGAATTATTGCTCTGGGTGAGCTGCAGCCACAGCAGTGATAAAAAGAGGGCAAATGTGTAGAAAACCTTGTCAACCTTATCTGTAGAGTTGTTTTACTCACTGGACTCTGTGGAATCATGTGCACGTGGCCTGTACTGTGTTTCAAGTCTTCTATTCTAACTACTCTTTAATTACCAGCTGAAGGACACAACACAGATCACTTATGACTGTAAATGCCAAACATCACAGAGACAGATGACTGATTACACATTCAGCTGTCAAAGGGACGGCAGAGGCCGGCACTGACATGCAAACTACAGACTAAATATCTGACTGGAAGCCCTCCTTTTGCTCTGTCCAGTTAAAAACACTCATCTGTTGCTGCCTCTGTGCTTCTGGCTAATAAGATATACTTGATTGGACCATAATAGCTTAACATAAACCTCAGGCAAAGAATTTGGAATAGAGCAAAGCTGTAACATTTATTGCCTGTTTCATTACCTCCAATTTGAGCACGTCGTGCTGCAGTTTCCTTTGAAATTCAAGGAAGCTACCAATCGTGAGCTTTCCTTTAAGGTCCTGTCCGAAGAAGTAGGTGGTGAGTGCAGAGCTGCACCCGGCTGTCTTCAGGGTGTTTCCTGTGGTGGAACGGTCACGGTGCCGCATGCCCATGCTGGTCTGGGAGCGAATGATGCTCTGGACCTGCAGATATCAACCAGTATGAGAATGTTAACGATGGTAACAATTACGTTTTTGTTTTTTTTCACTTCATCAGTCAAGACCCTCGTATAACATAGATCAACTTACTGAATAACACTTCAACTCCTATCATATTAAATAATAAATCCATACACAATGGCTAGCATAAAAAAAATGTTTATTTGCCTGTATTAGTCAGTGGTTGTTAATGCAGATTGTCAAATTCGAAATGTATGTATGTACTGCTTCTTTTTAAGTCTCTGTCTTCTTAAATATGTTGTTTAAGAAGACAGATGTAGGAGATGTAGTCACAGAAGGAGATGAGGCCACATTCCAGGGAATAAAATATGCTGTCCTCATCAGCAAACTTCTCTTAAAGTTTCTACAACTACAATGTTGTTTGTGTGGAAGTACATATGTGTGGGTCACAGAGTTTAGAAATCAGAGACTGGTGACAGTCAGCTGTGGGAGTGTACACCCACACGTTGTCCCGGCACACAAATTAAAAATAGTCCTGCTGCATAAGGTTAATCATGTACAGACGTCATGATGGTAACAGTCATGCAACTGCTGCATACACATGAAGCCAAACAGGCAGGTGATGATGGCAGTGAGGAACAATTAGTCTGTGGTTAGTTGACGAAGGAAACCCAGAGTTTCTTTCTCTCTTGTGTGTGTCTGCTAGATTTAAGATGTGTTGCTCACCTGTTCAAACTCTTCGAGGTCCACCTCTCCATCGCCATTCAGGTCAAACATCTTGAAAGCGATCTCAAAGTTCCTCTGGGGTGCTGTGTGCCACAGCAGATGAACCGCACAAAGAGACACATTCTTAAATCAATATATCACAATATGAAAGCAACAGCCCCACTGAATCGACCAAGAAAACAGCCGAGAGTTCAATGCTGACACCATCATTACACATTTACGGCACACAATCTTCAGTCTTCACCCCACTGCGATGAGCTTACAGCCTTACTGAGGGAATTCAATATACCTCAGACGGTACAATAACTCCACAGTAAGCCTCGCTCTGCAAGCAGAGCCCCTGCTCATACACACTGTGGACTCTGCATGAAAACATGTGCATTCAACTGAAATTCATGCACCAGTTTGTCCATTTCAAATGTTTTGCCCAGTTATTATTCTATAAATACTTCAGTCTACTGATGTGTATGCTTGTTGGTGAGTGGAATAAGATGCTTTCCAGTTCTGATAGAACTAATGTCAAATCATCCACACTATATTGCTTAAATGTGACCGCTCTGGACTAATATTAGGTCTATAAACTGCCTGAAGCTGCCAGTGTGGGATGCTGATTGGTCTATCTGCGGCAGACAGGCCACAGACTTATAGTTTTGAAGCCTGTCAAGTCAGATTCCGTCACTGTGGTCTTCCATTTCTCCAAAATTCACGACAAAAGAAGCTTCACTGCGTAATAGATGGTTTGAAATTTGGCCTGCTGCAGATTACTCAGCATTTCCACACACAGCTGAGCGGAGATGCTTTGGCACGTGGACAGAGAGGGAGAGAAAACATTATGCCACTTCTGTCTTTCTCAGTAGGAGATTAAATTACATGTAGGCAACACTAATTTTACTGCACAGGCATCTTAGAGTTCCTTAAGTGGGGACTTTGGCTGATAACACTGCGGTTTTGAAGCCTGGATCTGTTAGACAAGAGTGGCAGTCTGGGAATGCCTTAAGTGATCTCAAGCTGACATCTAATCATAACTGACTGATTTTTAATCAAAATTTCTTCCTTTCCAGCTGCCTGCTAAAGAGTGAATGTGTGAATGAGACCGGTGCTACCCAAAACACATTTAAAGCTTTCAATTTCTTTTAAAAAGAAAACAAGAATTTGGCACTTTGAGCCGGAATGGGTGTCGACATCATGTCAGTGCGGCTCTGAGATAGTGCCAGCATTTCATTTTGCTTTTTAAATAATGACTCTGCCAAAGGCCTTCTCTACATGAACAGATTATGATAAATAGTATTTAATGATTAGGGAAAAGGAGGTTTTTATTTCCATTATCTGATATCAGAGCAGAGATATTAAAGTGCCATTTGCTCTGTGTCTGTTGATCCTGCCATTGATTCTGTGACACACGTGTCTGAAGAAGCTGACTTGTTAGATTACTTTAACAAAGACAGAACCAGATGATTCACTGAGCAGCATAACTGATTGTTATCATTTCTGTGAATTTAAGAGTTACAACTTATCTGTACATTTAAAAAAAACACTTACTGGACAGCACAGTTGTGAGGAAGATGTAGTCAGAGAAGGAGATGAGGCCACATTCTCCCAGGGAATAAAATATGCTGTCCTCATCAGCAAACTTCTCCCTCTCCTGTGCAATTTTCTGCTCATCAAAGCCAGGGCACAAAAAAGAAACACATGCATTATAACCATTTCCCATTGTCCGGTATAGTACTTAAAGTTTCTACAGCTACAGTGTTGTTTGTGTGCAAGCACATATGTGTGGGTCTCAGAGAATAGAATCAGAGACTGGTACGCACACACGTTGTCCCGACACACAAATTAAAAATAGTTCTGCTGCATACGGTTAATCATGTACAGACGTCATGATGGTAACAGTCATGCAACTGCTGCATACACATGAAGCCAAACAGGCAGGTGATGATGGCAGTGAGGAACAATTAGTCTGTGGTTAGTTCATGAAGGAAACACATTACCCACCAAAAGCTGTACTCACAGCGTGAAACACACATAAAGAGAGGGAAAACATCACTTTTTGCACCAACTCACACTACTGATTAACCATACCTGAACACAACCCGATGTACGATCAGAAAAACAACAGTGATATTTAGCTCCACTGACAACGACAGCTGACTTGATGTTTTTTTTTTTGTTGTCGTTAGCATGTGTATATCAACAGCATTGCATGAAAGGGTCACTTTATCGCATGCATTTTACAGACTCAAGGATAGACTTGAAAGACAGTGTCCCACTAGTGGGACGCCCCACCAAACAGAAGAACAGAGCATGCCCAGAGAAGAGGGAGAGGGGGTGGGGGTGGGAGGGGGCACTCTGAGCCCGTGTGGTTACCTCCGTCTGTAAAAAGGTCCATTTCAGAGGAGGACGAGAAGGGGAAAAACAACCATTAGAGAGCATCGAGGCCTCTGCTGTCTTTAGCAGGGCCTTGAATGACAAAGACACTCATGTGCATTCATATCAATTTACACAGCATCGTGTTCAGAACAAAATCCCACGGGAATGCCAGCCAAAAGAACAATTAACATTTTTATAATCTCCACTTCCCTTTAGTGTGTTTGAACAAAATGTCTGCAAAAACCTTACAAGGGAACGTGCAAACAAAGCTCGACAACACAGCCCAGTGCTGTTGATGTTCAGCTTTGTGTGAAGTGAATGTGGGTGCTGCAGCTACAACGGCCAAAGCCATATGCTCAATATGGAATTAATTAGGAAAAATATAGATGAACATAAATATTGGGTGGCATTCCTTCATGACATCACAGTTCTTTCACATTCCTTTCCCAAGACCCAACTCTCTACTCATAGTCAATTTGGTGTCGCCTGTTAAGAATGGCTTTGTCAAATATAGAGAACAGCAGGTTATGATGTGACATATATAATTGATTCAATCTATATTAAAGGTATAAGAGAGAACGGAGTGGGGGAGCAGGGAGGTGAAGGAGAAAATAAGTTATTTTCGGCCCTGCTCTCATGTTTGAAGGGGTACAAAGGAGAAAAAGAAATAATGGAAAACATTGACCATGTGGCACCTTAAGAGTTAAAAGCTTTCAAGTGTCTTCATATTCAGAGGAGTATAGAGTGCTACAACTGAAAGCCTGTGTGCCTATGCTATAGAAAGAAAGAGTAAGATAAATCAGAGAAGGAGTGGAAAGAGGTGGTTCTGGCCCCTGGGATTAAAACAATAACATACAGATAACACCCTCTAATCCTGAGGTGAGACAGAGTGCTAATGCCTGCCCACAAAACAAGAAAGATGTGTACAAGCAAGTGTAAGTTTGTGGGGTGCACGTGTGTCTTCCACACAGACAGCTGCACATACGCAGAGACACACACAGCCCAGGCCTCATTAGAAGGATCCGAGCTGAGCCACAGAGTCCATTTGGCACATGGACCACAAAATAACCTGTCTCAAAATAAAATGAAGCGATATGACAAAGATAGTTTGAGTGAAGACACTGAATGAACAGCACTTTCATCTGATCAAGTGAATTAAATGTAAAGGCAGCATTTTTTTCTTCTTTTTTTTTTCTTTTAGGGTATGTGATATGTGGTAATAAGTAAAGTACATTCAGTCTGTGTGTTAGTGTTTTCTTTTCCTGACAGAGCCTGTTGCTCAGCTGGAACACTCTCTTTTACTTCACCCTCCATCTTCCATCTGTCATTGGTGTAAATCTCAGCTTCAGACTCAAGAGATTCCATATTGGATACTCCAACAACAAGTCGAGTTTCAACTGAAAAATTATGCAAATACAATTCAGAATGATGACAAAATGTTTTATCTAAAAAGAATATGCCAACAGCCACGCTCGACAGTTTGTGAACTCTTTAGAGCGGCTGACAATTCTGAATAAATCCAATCTAAAACAGATAGCGAGTCATTTTATAAAAGGGACATAATGGAAAAGTCATTTGTCAACTGAGGAAATGACTGACTCTACAACAGAATATGGAGTGAGCCACTTCTACAGCAGCCACTGAAACCAACTGCGTTAGCACACCTGCTTCGGGTTCCTCCCTAACAGAATTTCAGATCATTTTTGTGTTTCCTCTTTTGAACTGGCCACTTCTCAATACTTCAGAAACATTCAGCATGGCTTTCTTTCTCCTGAGGTTCATTCCATCAACAGATGGTCAAACATCTTTTTATAGATTTTGCTGTTGTAATTCAGAATTCTTTGTTCTTTGTTCCATCTGTGATAGTAAGCCTTCCTGGCCCAAAAGCAGTATAAGATTCTATTTTGATCTAAACCATCAACAAAACATGTTTCCAACGTCCTTCTGGTAAGTCCACGTCAGACTAGTACACTACAGATGGTTAGCAGTCTTTCAGTTGCTCAGGCTAAACTGTACTACAACATGAAAATAACCTATTTCTCCTTTGTCTTGGCTGACTGGACTGCTCTTCAATATCTTTCATTTACACACTATCTGTCCGATTGGGGAGTGCTTGAGTTGAAACCTTGTAAAGAGAATCTTTTAAATGTTTTACTGATGAGCAATACGACTTCCTTCTCTGCAGCACCATGAAACATTTTGTTTGTGGAATAGAACATTTCAACATTGGTTTGACTGACTTCTACCTATTAGCTTTCAGGGCTGCACGGGGACAATCTGATTAAATTCACTGTAATGCTTTGGCTAAAAACATTCTTAGGAGGTCTGCAAATGTGTCAGCAGCACTAGTTTACTCGATACCTGTTAAATTGATCATCTCAGATGAGATTACACCCATTTAATATACAGCTTTAATTACTAAAATGACCCCAACTGCACCTGAGTTAGTATCACACACTAATTACAAATTTCCCCAAAACACTTAGTCCCACTATCACGTAAATTAACCTCTTCATCTGCGCTTTTCTGTTCAGTGGCAACGTTATAGATGTCTGTCTTAATGCGAGTCTGATCTCTTTATAAATCTCTGTCTGTAGTCATCTGCCCATTCTTTTGTCACAGGTCAGTGAAGTTATAGTGGAGTGTGACATTTTGTCCCGATGCCAAACTGAGTAACAGCCCAATTCGGAGAGCAAAGGCTGAAAGATGCTGACAGAGCTGCCGGCCGGGGGGGGGGGGGGGGCTGAGCAGAAATGTACCGCTGTCAGACACATGTACAGACAGGATTTAAGGTTTGTTCAGGACCGACCTCACCTCTGCATGAAGCTGAGGAGCAGCCACACAGATCGTCTGGTCAAACTTCAAGAAAGAAGCCAGTAAACCATACACACTGCTCAATTCATAAGAATGATTTAAGGATTGTTAAGCACACCACCATGGGACAGGCCAGGACTGACTGAATAGGGTTTATTTTTAATTACCTTCTTAAATCAGCTATCCAAACTGTTATGTCCTCTCATTTGATCAAATTTCTGACATCAGCTGAACACTTCAGATCTACCAATTCCTGCCAAAGCAATTTTACTTGTTTATTACTTGCTTCTTAGATAACACCATTTTTATTGTTATTATCATTAATAAATCTACACCAGTGACTTCTAAGAGAGCCACAGTGAATGGTTGAATTTATGGGTCTACTCTGAGACAGGGTAAAAACGAGGATTTGAGAGCGAGGCTGTTGACCATACCCAATTTAGCTACGGGCCAGTGTTATGAATGAGTATGAGCTGCAGTGATGTCCGATCCTCCGGGATTTCTCTTGTTTTTCCCATGTGAGTCAAGGGAGTTCGGCCAACTGGAATGTGGATATCTGACAGTCAGAGCAAGATATGGGTGGGAGGGTGTGAAAGAAGCTAAATAAACTAATTTTAGTTTCTTAAACATTTTGTTAGATGCGATAGCTAGTAAAGGCCATGAAATACAGAGGGAAGTGAATTTCCAATGAAATCACAAAGCATGCAGTCAACTGGATCTGAGCAGGTGTTTCAGAAGTGTGGATAAAAGTTCTGATTCGTGTGCTTTTACATGTCAGATGTAACCATCTGAGTGGCTACGGGTGAATTTTTCTCTTGATACATGATGAGAGCATGGTGCTGAAATACCACAGTGTGTAAGTGGGCAGGCAGGTGTGTGGGAGTAGAGAACATTAATTATTAGCTTTCCACCTCTGGTCCCAGATGGAACTGCAAAGCAGCTGTGCTGTTAATAAGTAGCAATTACAGAGGGAACGCATTTAAGAAAAAAATATTTCCTAATATGGACCATTTCAACAAATGTTGTAGGCTAAAGCTTGGCAGGTCTCTCATAATAAAAACAAAAACAAATTAGCTGACCAGGGCTAGGACCAACCTCTAATAGATGAGAAGAAAAAAGAAAATAGCCAAAGGGAGTGTTCTGAATGTGTGGCTATCTATGGACGACCAAACACCAAAACATGTCAAACAACATAATTGGGAACTGTAGACTGAAAATATCAAGTAAAACAGAGAGGTCCAACGAGCTGCCCCAGGGAGCTCCCTGTGGAATCAGAAAGGTTAAACATAACATCAGTTTGTGACAAACAGTTTAGTTTCAGTCGGAAAAGCCTCCTCCACACACTCTACGGGTGACAGGTGTCCATTCTGCATCTTAAAAGAACACTCAGAAAAGTGTGTGGCTTCACAGAGAGGGAGCGCCACAGCTGGCAGAAGAATGTGTAGATGAACAGAAAAGTTCTGCCGTCTGCAACTTTAAATCATGCTTCACAGAAACCATGCAGCATTGACATCTCTACAATCCAGAGGATGGATTTTTGAAGGCTATAAAGCACATCATACAGCCTTGACATTTGCCAACAGAGCCATTTCCTGGGTCCAAACCCACCCACTGATGCTCCCATGTGCAGAGAGGGGGCGCCACCACCAGTTAATTTCTCTGATGCACAGGCAGTAGAGCATTGCATGCTGGGAAAACAGCTACATCACCAAAGCATGTGAAAAGCTATAGCTGAGTTTTTTTGTGTTTTTTTTAAAAGAAGGAATGAAAGCATGAGGAGAGAAGGTGTATTTATAAGAAAAGACAGATTGAGTGCAGGGGAACAGCACTTCTATGGTTTGGCTTTGAACAACACTTTGTTTTCTGCATCTCAGCTTTCAAGCTATATTATTCTTATTGAATTTGAAATATAAACGCAAATTAACTCCACTTTTGGAGACTGACTGCTGTACTATGAATTATGTAGCAGTGCTGCAGCATTTATTAATCTCTGTTACACAAAGCATAGTCATCATTTTCAATAATTCAACAGGGAGGACGTGGCACACAGCTGCTTTCCACGAACTATAGAAAGGACACTTGGAAAATCTCCACTACAATGTCAACTAACAATACGGGGCTTGAGTGTCTCAAACAAATGCACACACAGAGAGGTGGATGCTCACTTCACTGTAAGACACTCCCTATTCTTTTTATCCTGAACAGGTTATAACCTGCCCTTTGCTACGCTTGGCCTATCCTTTTATCATTGTTACTGACATATGCATTCAGATCTGCTTACTGGTCTAATAATCCAGCTTAAAGGTCAGTGTTCCTGTTACCAGTAATGAACAAACACATTCAAGTTTCAAGGTGTGTGTGTAGTTAACTGACTGAAAGAGGTGGGGAGACCTAAAACATTACAATAAGTTGCTTTTCCTCCACCCAATCCTTTATTTTCCATATAAAAAAATACATCTGAATTTAAACTGTAGATTCTTATCAGGTAAAAACAGTCAGCACTTATTTAATTGCTCGTAAAAGTTTTTTCAAACCTGACCTTAGAACGGGATAGGTTAGAAACACGAATGGTTTGAGAATGTATTCTGGTTTAAATAGGTACATTAAAGGCTTTTGGCTGCTGTCATACTCATCGTGGCCATAGAGACACCATAACTCTCTGAAAGCTGAGATGTGATAAAGAGAAACTACTTATTCAGCCATTCCCCTGAACTAACCAAAGTGAATAGCTATACCCTTCACCACTAAGGAGGTGTGAGTGATAGACACTGGGGTGAGAAGAAGAAAGTATACAGGAGTTAGAGGGAAAAGGTGGTGGCTACAATGTGCAGTTTTTCATTCAGGTGCATACATGCTGCTCGGCACACCCCATACCTGCCAGAAGTCCTGCAGAGAGGGAGGGAGGGCAGAACAGCAAGGAGACGAGGAGGGAGGGAGACAGTGGAGGATTAGAGGAGGTGGTGAAGAGAAGGAGGGACGGGGGATTGGTGGGTGGAGAACAGGGGTTGGTAGGTGGGATGATTGGGGGGAGACAGAGAAAAGTTGGGGATGACAGTTTGCCATGAGGGAGGGAGGGGAGAGAAAATGGAGGGATTACTTGGTTTGGGAATGATAGAGGATGGCTAATAAAATCACGGGAGAGTAATCAACAGTTCACAATGGCAACATGAGATCACATTAATATTTAGGGCAGCTAAAAGCATCTGCATATGACCAGGGTGGGGGGAGGAATCACAGAAACTTAGAGAATTATCAGCAGAGAACAGATCACAGACAAACAATCAAATTTAATGACTTCTAATACCACAGTGTTCTAATGGACAGAGGGACAAAGCAAACAAGATGAGTCAATATTAACAACTGTTACATGACCATAAAAAGCATGTAATGCTGCTCTGGATGAGGCTGATCCTTAAAACAAATTAGTGCTGGCAGGAGAGCAGAGAGAAAGACATTTACAGTGTTTACACTTGTAAAAAAAGGCTCTGCTTAACTTCCTCCAAATGTACATGTTCATCAAACCTGAGCTGGTTCTGCTATTATAAATCTATACTACAGGAAGTGATACATTAAAAGAGCTTTCAGGTTACATTTCCAATACTGTGTTCCCCTACAACCAGTTTACCAAACAACCCCCCAACTGAAACACTCCTTTTCTGTACACCCCCATCCACTTCCTATTTTAAATGCTGCTGCTAATTCTACTGACAATGTAACACTAATCTCTGAGTGTACTTTGCATCTCCTTTCCTTATAGATTTCATTTTCATGTGGTCTGGATTTAACAGCTACTCATTGAACTGTAACGCTTTAATCTTCCTCCAATTATCTTGACAAACCAATTAAACCACAGAGGGTTTGGATACAGCCAATGAGGGAGAGTTGCACCAGCAGCTCTCTGGCCATGGCACAAACATAATTACAAAGTAAGGAGGAAGCCATGTAGCCATTTGCATCAAAAAAGTATATGGCGTACAGATAGGGATAACATTTACATAAACAGGGATGTACTGGGAGGAGTTCATGAGTCAGATTTCTGGTTACCTGAGAACACTTATTTCTAATAAGCGATATAAAGTTGATGGAAAATGAGTCAGGAAATCATTAAACTCCAGAAAACTAAAATGCAGAGAGAGGAATTAGGGAATTAGAGATCTCTGACATATTTGGTGGGGCTCATCAAAATGGAGAGTAGGAACAGACTCAAATAAATCTGACGGCTGATGAAATTTGTAATGAGAATAGAAAATACAATCATCTTACTTATGATTCGCTTATATAAAATGAATGAGGACGATTAGCTGCTGGATATAAGAAGTGCTCAGCGCAATCTGATATTGAAATCAACGTGAAGGAAATGGCATTGATGATGTTGGCTTTTTAGAATGGTTTCTTCTTTTCTGAAGGTGAACATCTTAATATAATAATTTGATACACAGGGCAAAGCTCCTTTAAGTCAATTTGAGGCCAAAATGGGACAGTCTATTGTTGTCATTAAATAGTTCATAGTGGAGAGGTTCAGCTAATTCACGTAAATTAAAATAGTAAAAAATCGTACAGCAGCTTTATTATAAGCTCACCCACTAACCTTTTAAAAAACAACACTGACTTCTTACCTTCCCATCATAGCGCTTTACAATAAACTGGTCTAGGCCCAGATCTGTAGAAGAGACAACAAACAGACATGTGTTTAGGATCAGAAATAAGCGTAGGGCAGACTAGCTACATGAACACAGTACATTTATGTCCCGCATGAATTTGAAAAATCATATTTACTTTGTGCCGCCAATGAACCTCTGGTAATCAATTACATTCCCCAGTAAACTATCTCTGTGATTTCATGACAAAAATCCTTTACCAAAAATTAAATGAACTGTGAGATTATTGAACAAAGAAGGTCAATTGGAACCGATAACAAAACAGGAGAGAAAAAATCGTATGTGCGAAATTTGAAGTTATTTATTCTACAGCCCTTTGGTGCAGCATCTTAGTCATCTGGAATGTGCTGCAATTACTCAACCATCAGGCCACTCCATAAAATACCTGCCTGTAGTTCTGAAGATCTGTTTTTAAATGAGTTAATATCATAAGGGCAGATTATTGATTTGCTTGTGAATAAAACTTAATCATTTCTTCAGGGCTCTATGATTCAACTCTCCAGGGACACGCACTTTAAAATAATCCCTTAGTATGAAAATGCTACATTCAAGCCTTTATTTAAAAAATAAATAAATGAGGAGATCAGGTTTTAGGAGGGGGGCAGGAAAGGTACTTAGTCCAAGAAAACCGGACCAGCGGGGGGGTGAGCTGGTGGAAGTCTTTATGGTAAGTCGGACAGCCAGCAAAGGCATGGAAGGGTAAATTCTTATCAAGTCTTAACAGCTGTTTTGGTATTTGACATAAAATGAGCGCTAACCCACGGACAACTATTGTCCAGGTCTGTGATTAACACTAATCTCCTACCATCTAGTAAAATGTCACACATATCTAACTAAACTTGAGTGTTGAATATTAATGACGGGAGGGATCCTGAAAAGCTCTTATCCTAAGTTAAGCTCCCTCCCTTTACAAACCTCCCGTGGCTGAAGATCAAATATCCCTTGCTGGCTCCATGCGTGACGCCAGAGGTCTGCTCTGGGTTCAACCAGCTAATTGATACACCAACTGCTGGGTGGTGATTTCCTCAACTCAGCGTGATTGGACAGCCCTGCCCCCCCCCCCCCCCCTGCCTCGTATATAGGTAGTGGCATTGATGCACTGCACCCATGAACAGTCATATAGCGCCATTTATGTGTGACATACCCTTGCAACTGGGTGGTGCACGGGGCATGGAGGAGGAGGGTGGGGGAAGTTGTGTAAGGCTTACAATTAGCTATCTGATCTCAGCACTGCTAGTTCCAGCAATCATAAACAACCAGCATACTTGACAAGTACCCTTAAACACTATGTACGACATGTTCAGGTTCTATGTGGACTTGTATTTTCAGGGGTTAACATAATGGCTAGTATTCAGATAAATCTGCAGTCTTTAAGCAAAAATTTAGGAGAAAAAACCTTTTAAAAATAATAGGGAAGGTGAATCTTACTCTCAGGCTGCTTCTCATTGGGCGTGATAGAGCGTATGAAGTCCTGAGGCGTCATGTAAACCTCAGCATCCCCGTGCTCGTTGATGACTTTCAGCGTGGCAAAGTAGCGGAAAATCTTGTCAGGAGTTGAGTAAGCTCTTATCCTGTTCTCATACTCCATCACCTGCCAACCAGACAGAAAGCATACAAGTTCTATACATCAAGACTTCGGAACCAGTACACGTCTTATATGCAGCATCAACAGGATGAAGAGAAGAAGCCATTTTTCACTCATACATGTGGCAACCCTCTTAGCTCTGTCTGAGGGGGAGCTAAGAAGGAGCAGATGGAGAGAAGAGGTGTACAGAGTGATGAGGAAGGTGGCGACAGGAAATTAAGTTGTCAGTTTTGATGGAGAGCTGCATTAACATCTTGACTGATGCATCACATAATCAAAACAGGAAGCGAGGTGTTATAAGGGTCACTGTGACTGTCAGGTTCAACTGAGGGGGGAGTTGTCCGTGCCCCACAAAGCTGTCCGCTCATCAGGGATGTGGCGCGCCGTTCTTGGAATCACGACTCATTCACTCAGTTCCGTTTTACACGAGCCACCTCTTTGTTTTGACAGGAACTTCCACTTTCCAGCAGAAATCTCCCAACAGATGCTGAAAGTGACACAGCGGTGTGTGTTTATCCACCAAGGCTGTTATTTTGTGAGACAATGAGTGATTGTGTTTACTGCAGCAACTCCCTGAGGAAAAAGTACAAGCATTTTAGAGCTTCAGCTTTTTTAGGTTGTCATTAAGTCCAATATGAAAAACAGAAAGAGTGTGGGAGACCGGCACAGAGTCCAACGCAGCTACAATTTCCTCTCAGTTTTGTGGCTGATTACATGCTTGGTGGTTTGCTCCAACAGAAAACTGCAATGGCCTTTGGGGAAATCACCAGCTGTGTCACCACAGAGGTAACCACTTCCAAAGACATGGAGAAAGGAGCTGGTCTACCATTCTCCTACCGACTTGTATTCCAAAGCAGTAAAAGTTAATATTTTCTTTAATTTTCATGGACAATTGTTGTTAGTTGTTTGAACTGCAAGAGAAAAAAACTTAAGGAAAAGTCTGGACACTTCGGAGAATCAGAGCTTCTGTCAGAATTTTTCTTTGGTATTTCATAAAAAAGTCTATATTGCTTTGTTCCATAAACTGCAATTTGGGCAAAAAACAAGAGCTGCTTCAAAATATGAAAATGGTCCAAAGGTAGCACTATGTTCACTTTTTGACTTTTCCCTCCATGTAAAACCTAACCTATGCCACCCAATAAGGTTTCCCTAAAGTGGACCAGTCAACAAGCTTCGGGCTGCTTTTTGCAAATTTTCAAACATAATTCTTTGCAGCATTTTTTATGCCTTTTAGACAGCGACAAATGTTCTACTGAACCAGCTTTTCATTTAAGCAAAAAGGTTCAAGCATACCATTCTAAAAGTAATATTTACCACCTGTTGCATTCAACTTTACAACATTCAGCCATACCTGATCATCTTTATTTTTCAAAAATCTGTATTTTAAAGACAGCCTAATGTTCCAGTCCTTTAAACAGTAGAACTTCAAACACCCTGAATCACCTCAAGGACAGAGAGCGCTTAAATCTTCTCCCCAGACGTGTGGGCGCCGCTGCTGAGGCTGTGACTCCGCAATATTCAACATCAGCACCCATAAGTCAGATATACCTGTACAATCCTGTCAAATTTCACTTAATAAAGGCACCCTCTGTTACTGCCTCTCCTCACAAGTCGAGCGATGATATGCTGAGCTAGAAAGTGTCACTTGGCGGCATCTCAGGGACTGTTGACGCCTCTTCTGTTTTTCCTTTGTCATCTGCAGCCTAATTATCAGCAATAAAACCCTCAGGGCGGTACGTTTGTGATATTTATGACAGCAGAATTCACGCTGAATACCTCAGTGCGCACCCGTAAATATTCTGTCAAAATGCATATTGGACATTGATTTGATTTGAAACTGTTCTTGTGACTGACTGAATGGTTAATGGTCTATTCGTTATCGATTACCTTGCGGTCACGGAATCCTGAACGGGGCTTCTTTTTTTTCCCCTCGCCACCGTCATCTTGTCCGTCCTCTCCCCCGCTGCTGAACTCCACTGATCTCTCCGACTCCATCTCCGAGTCCGTGTCTCTCCCAAAACCAGCTTCCTCTCCAGTCGGCTGCTCCGAGTGTCGAACAGACGGTCCAGCATCAGCATATGCTCTAATTAAAAAAAAAGAAAAAAAAAAGACAAGCAAACACATATAACGCAAGTCAGTTCCCAAGGGACAGTTTTAGGCTTTCACATATGCTAGTTTAGTACAACAATCTCTTATTCTCCGTTCCACTTAGCAGAACTAAGAAAATATGTGAATGTTCTGAGCCGTCTTTAGTTCTGTGCATTGCAGAGGTTTGTCTTGCCAAACTCCCACTTGACAATATTTCTGACTAAACAGAAAATTGGAATAATAATAATAAATAGCCGGGTCTGCCTGGGGAAGGCTAAATAATTCAGCTAAATGCGACACTAGGAGAATAAAACCTGGGGTGAAGGCCTGGAACAGCCTCATCCCATCAGTCTGAAATGTCCCGGGGTACCATCTATCACTCTGCCCACAGCAGCTCAATCATTCTGCCCCAGAAGAGCTCTGCCTTAAGCCCCACGTCTAGCATTGCACAATAACTTCACACAAGCCCTAACATCAACGGATGGTCATAAAAACACAAGAAATTCAAAATCATATTTGGCTTTGTGCAAAAGTCATGCTGTGTTTGAGTGAGGTTAATGTATTTAAATGGGACAACACAATGATTCCCAATGACAGAGACGTGCCATTCAGGATTGCTGTGAATGTGGAAACAGGAAATACACGCTAAAGATGTGATTATTTGATCTGTATGAGAGCAGCCACCATTGTGACTGCAGCCAAAACCACTTGCTATGCAGCACAGAATCAGTTGTCCCAACAGTCAATGCACAAGAAACAGACTGCAGGAGTGTATCAAAGAGCCCCACCTTTTCCAGAGCAGTCCAGTGCTGGCAGACACACCGGTCACCCCGGCCAGGGCTGCCAGCATCAGCCTCCGCCGGCCAGTCCCGCGCACCGCCTCGCCGTGGTAACGGCGGGACAGCTGGGTCAGCCCCACGCAAACCGCGGGCAAGGCCCGCAAGCGGAACATCCTGCAGGGAGGAGAAGAAGATACAGCTGACAGCCCTACAAAAGAGCCGTACAAACCGGAGTATAGGACAGATTAGAAGTTCTAACACACCTGCTGGTTTGATGCTTTCATCTATTCTTACTACAATATCATAGATCACCATTTAAATGTAGTGAAACAAAAAAATGTGGAAATTTTGGTTTGTGTTTAGTGTAACCGCAAAATAATGCCTAAAACAACTCATAGATTATAAAATGTATGCTTTCCATAAACACTGGCTATTCATTCAAGCTCCTAAAACCACTTTAATGTATTTACAACCATTGCAAAAGCAAATGGAGACTATACATTACAATATGTGTGTACAAGCTCAGAGGCCATGCTCGGCCTAGGATTGGGAAAGTGGTGCAGTTAGGGGACGTCAACTTCCCATTTTAAACATGTTTCTCTCTTTGTAAAACAAAATTGTGTAAACATACACAAAAAAAAGCCTGCAGTCATTCTTTTTGCTTAATAAAATTCCATTTAGAAAATAAAGAAAGGAACTGTGAAATAATGTGATCAAATATGCACGTATTTACAAAAGAAACATTTTATATAAGGATGGGGCTTAGTTTTTCACACAGTGTACAATGGGTACAGGACACTTTGTTGAAGTGTTTACTTTGATCCCCTTTTTCCAACGTTCAGCTTCCCTGCTCTAATAAATATTACACTGATCATAACCCATGGAAGTCTTTGCTTATGATTTGGAAAGCACAACCTAAAAAGTTATCTAGCTCTGCAGGTAACCTTTGGAACACTTGAATTATTTTGGGTCGGCCGTTTTTCATACCTGGCCAAACGATATATCAATCAGAGCACAAATCTCCCAGCATCCCCCTGGATCACAAAGCAAGACTAAAACTCATTTCTGCTGGTGCAGGTAAGCTCCTCAGCCTCTTGTTCTGCTGTAATGCCATTCAATTCAAAACTGTCACGGAAAGATGATTAACAATTAAGCAAATGGCTACTGGCGCTCATTTGTAGCTCCCTGGTGTGAACTTTTCAAACTACAGGACAAAAGAGTTCACATCATAAGAGCTGCAGCTACAAACGGTTGAAACAGAACAAACAGTTCAGCCACCAACTGTCAAATGGACCCAGTAGAAGGAAAAAAAAGACATGGCACATGTTAATTGGAGAGTCCAGCAGCCCATGACGGCTGCGACTGAAGGGAACAGTAACCATGCAGACTATTTCTGCAGACAGCTTGGTATGAACAGATTGCTACCAAATGTTTCGGAAAATGCCCAAAGAATATTAAGCTCTCTCTGAAATATGAATAACTTCCCAACATTTGCACTTAGGAACCAGTAATGAAGGTTAGCCTCTCTGTGACTTCTGTATGACACTGAAGACGTATCTAGGGCTGTGTAATAAACAGAACACTCAGGATTTTAAACAATGTTTTGTTTATGCTATCAAATTCCAGGCAGAGCTGATCCCACTGCTCCCCGACCACCTCCACAGTCAGAATAGCACATAGATTATATGTTACTAAAAATATGGAGAATATCAAATCCACACATGTTCAAGAGTTTTTCTTTAATCTGTCTAAACTATTTTATTAAATCAGATTTTTCCAAAGTTGAAGGTGGATCAATTATTGAAGGAGATATGTTTGCTTATATACTTCTTTGATAAGCCATTCCCAGAATAATACAGGAATATTACAAAAAACTACATAATGTTTATAAAATGTGTCATCATCATGCAGGTTTCTATGGTCCAATGGTCAAAAAAGGCCAAAAGATGTCAATACAAATACACAGCTAGAGTGACTGGATTAAAAATACAAATCCAATTTAGGAGTTATGGGAGCAACAACTCTGAGAAATGCCTTATTCTATTCTATGGCTTATTCTATTCTATCTATAGTTTCTGAGTAAAACTAGGTGAACCACAACCAGCTGATATGTAATTATAAACCACCTCAGATCATTGTTGCTTTTTTACTGATATGGAAACTGGCAGTCCAAAATAATTAGTCAGACTCCTAAACCACACATGCCATGCAGTAACAACACTTCATCAGGTGAATGTGGTCAGTTCCCGGATGGGCTTCAGAAAATGTAACACCAACTTAAAGAGCTTCAACAAGTGAATTTACATCATCTATCCTCACCAGCGTTTTACATTACCGGCCATACAATAGATGAAAAATACCTCAAATAATGCTTTCTTCTCAACAAAGAGTAAAGTCGTGTTCATGTCGCCTGGATGGGTTTTCACAAAAAAAAGAGGGATAGGATGACTCTCAGAAGTAAAACAAAAACAGACAGCAGGTCTGTCATCATCTGATCACAACTTCCACCACTCCACAAAGCTTTAGTAACAGGGAGGTCCCATAAAGAACATGTTCGCATTGGACTGGAGGTAACTACCAATAAACAAATGGATCAGTCAGATGTTTTATAATCTATGTGCAAAACGTAAAAATAACCCCAGAAGTCCATGTGGGCTCTGGCTGACGTGGTTTCAAAGTTCCCCCCAGAAAGACGTGATTAACCCCTGTGACCTAACGTTGACCAGCCAGGCTGGACACATTTCAGACAGAATATTGAAAACGGCCACCCCTAAATTTGCCCAGATGTTTCAAAAAAGGACGCCGGCTTTTTGTTTTTAGCTCCACATTCGCGTCGTTGACAAAACACGGCAAAACAGCATCCGCAGGGGCCTGTAAGCTAACAACAACACGCGTTTTCAAAGTGGGGTTTCGTGTTTTGTGTATTTTCGCTGTCACGCTTTGCTTGTAAACACAGCTAAACACGGGCTGCCCCGTAGCACGGCGGCTAGCAGCAGCTATCCTGTCAGTGAGGGCTGGCGGACATAACCGCTGCTAGCTCGGGCTGCGGCTGTGCTCTCACACACTAGTTACACTTTGTTTCGCTACGGAGCTGCGTCCCGGCTAACCGCGGCGGGCGGCTACTTACGTCAACGACGGAGAAACAAAAACAGCAGTCGGTACAACAACCCTGTGCTCTCCGATATTTCGGTATAGTGCGTGTGAGCCTTGTCCTTCTTGGGAGACGGGCCAGCGGCGGCAGTTCCGTGTTCGCCAGTGACCGTGCAGACAGCGGGGTGGGGCGCCATGTCCGCAGCCCCGCCCCGCGAGCCTCCGCCGGGCCCCCGCCGGGCCCCCGCCTACCACCAACCGCCCCCCACGGGTGAGGCCTAATGAGAATAACACCAACTAAATGCATAAATAAAGCATTAAATGCAAGACATTTTTCTACTCTCAATTTTCCAGCTGGTGAATGCCGGTAAAATAGCCAGTGAGGGGCTTATTGAGAGAACGCCATCCCCATGACTTGGATGAATTCACTGGTAGGCTATGTGTGTATGTCTGAAGTATTGATATCAGTCTGCAGTCAACACAGGAGAAGTGCTGCTTTCAATTAACTGAGGGAGTCTCGGCCGTCAGTCATTCGTGACAGTTCTCCAAAAAATGTGACGGCTCCATATGACTGGGCTCCTCACGCCGTACTGCGACAGGGTAAACACGGTCTCGCATCCATATATCTGAAAGAAGACATTCCTCATGGGGATGTGTCATGGATGTGCCACGGGAGCCTCAATAGGTCCATTCAAATTGAGTTCCCTGGACAAATGTCTGTGTCAGACAGTAACACAGTGTGATCAATGTGTAGAATGGCTGTAAAATTAAACCAGAACAACACAGACATGCAGAAATATTTAGCCCAGATTCCATGACTAATCTGCTGGCAACTGTAACCCTCAGACATACAAAAACAGCAAGGGGCATAGTGCAGATCCCCCACATTAAATAGTAGATCACAGTAGGGTTCCTCCACTGTGCACACTTGGGTGGGATCTGCTATTACTTCATCACAGCATGTCAAATTGCAGATTTTTGCAAAGCTGTTTGTTACATTACGTTAATTTACCACAGGTTTCATCTTAAGCGACACGTGACTGAGGAGTAAAGAGGAGTGACTGAACGGAGCAGGTCAGTGACAGGCTATTAGTTCAGAAGGGTTTGAATATCTTGTGGGGGAGAGCTACAGAGCTACAGAGCGGCTTAACTCAGCAGAGAAACAGAATGATGTGTGAATCCATGCTTGCAGGTAATAGAGCAGCTCATGCATCCATTAGTCATGGCCATTTTATGCAATCTCTGCACACAGATGAGAGATTCATGTTGTCAATTGTGTGCCAGTCTTTGAAAGGACTTCATGGAAGAATGAAGTGTGCTTTGTGGGGACACAGCTGTAGAGATTTATTAATGCCTGCATGTCTGGGCGATCAATGCTCCGCAGCCTTTCCACCATTCCAGATAGAAGCTCAGCTCACTTGGATGCTGGGTTGGAGTAATACCACAAATAAGTGGCGATTGTAATGAAAAAGCAACACTGACCAGAAGCAACCCCCCCTGTGCTCACATAGTGCTTGGAACTCCTGAGAACATTCTGTCTGTGATACACAGAATTTTAGAAAATGTGGACCCACTGATCTCAGATCATTGTATTGCATCATCAAAGTTTCATCACACTGCAGCATACAGGGCAATGAGTGTTTATGGACTGTATAGATTACATTCAAATCGGACTTAATGTTTCACCTCATTGAATGTGTGAGTTCTGAGGAAAATATGGTTGAATGCTTTTAGAAATGGAACACCAGCCTGAGCAGGCACGTTCCTTGATCAATACAACTATTACATTCCAAAATAATACATTATCCAGATAACACAGCTCTAACTCAAATTACAGCTTACAATCTTTTCTACAAATTACTATGAACACTAGCCTTGTTTCCCCACAATCCTTTGTTAAAGCACTTTTAAACTCCAGCAGCTGTTTTTCTTGTCTTCTTTTCCTCCTATTAATAAGAGCGGGTACTTAACAGTGCCTGCAGCTCTTCAATGCAGGGCTCATTAATACAAGCCATTTATCATACAGACCACCCTACAATATGTAATTGTCAGCTATTGAAATTTGTTTAACGTTGTTGTAAGCTTCGCAACAGCAATGACTTCAGCATGGCCCAGGAGTCCACAATGGCAGTGTATTTTTATCTGATTTTGGGCCATTCGTCTCATTTACAAATGACCAGTTAGCCTTTCATCGGTATTAAAAATATGCATGACACTGTGGAAATCCAATTTAAAAAACTTCCCGAAAAGAGCCATGAAGTTTAAAGAATTGAATGTATATTGTTAACAAATGGTTACAAGGCTATGCACAAGCCATTAGCTCCTCAGGAAAAAGGAGCTGAATAAGGGTTGATGCTAAATGGCTCGTACCCAGCACTTTTAGTTCTGTCACCTCAGACAGGCCTGCTGGTTCCTCTTAGTAACCAGAAGGCCCCATTAGAGACATAGAATAACTTTTTCATTTAGGTCCCCAGCTTTCTTCTCTTTCATTTGGAATGACTTTGTTTTGTTTGAAGGTTAAATTGTGTCCCTATGGTTATATTTGGGTCTGCAGAAGCTGAACTGTTTCCATCAGCCTTTTTTTTTTTTTTTTACTCGTGTATGGCTGTCTAGCGCAAAATAGTTTTCGTATGCCCAAGATGACGCCCAGTTGATCTTATTTGAAGGCTAAAAACTGCAGTGAAACGTGATCCACGCGTTTGTTCTTTTTTTTGATGGTGATAGATGGCTGCAGACAAAAGCAGGCTCGGGTTACAGCTGTCATATACCTGTGCGGTGGCTGTGAGCCCTCATGCGTGCTCCATGGCAGCGGCATAGCTGCTTTGTTAGGGACGTGTTTACCCCAGCACCCGATTGGTGGTGTGATGAAATAGAAGTTATAACCCCATGGGTGCTGCCTTTTTGTTGTTCCGTAGGTGGGGCTCTTTAGTGCTGCTGGGTGACATTTCAATCATGCACAGACGTGTGTGCACACAAGTGCAAACAGGCGTTGTAACACACCTCGTGCTGTATTGTGAAACATTAGCTCCCGACCTTGACTGGCAGAGATGAAAAGTGCATGGTTTCTCTTTCAGAGTTTTACTTCTCTACAGTTGGACCTCGAACAGTTATTTCTGGTGCAGATCACATTTGAATTGCATGAATCCAGATTTGTGCGGACGGGCCATGTCCAATTTAAAACTGTGATAAATCTGACATTTGAATTCATTTGGCATAATTTAGAATTTCAATCGTGTTTCCTCAGGACTCTAATTGTGAATCCATCCTGTTCAGGTTGTCAGAGACATATTTTTCAGGAGGTTTGGTACCACTGTTATCTTCCATTTGCAGCATTGATACTTATTATTAGGTGGGATACGTTGAGCAGGTATAGAGGAGATGGAAGTTATGGGCTTATCACTAACATTTTCATTTTCAGTGTTTAAGCCAGCGGATATGTTAATGTAAGATCCTGACATGTTGTATTCCCCCTTATATAGCTACTGTTTATGGTTTTATTACACTGATTCAACTTTACAAACAGAATTCGGAAAGCACACAAAATCTCGTACAGTCTCATATGACTTAAAAGACACAGTGAAATCTAATAGCTGCAGCGTTTTGTTTACACTGCAGATACACCACATGCAGTTAAGGCAACAACTTTAAGGTTTGTTGAGCCAAATCCTGTTAACATTTGGCAAAGAGAATACTTCATGTATCGATGCAGCCTCGAGGCCTCAAGCAGGTCATTGTCCGTGGCTGAGAATTTGCATTTAAATTGCATTGGCCACAAAGCCTGATGCATTGCACCTGAAGAAGCAGAAAAGGAATTGGGATGAAGATGACAGGGAAAACACATATTACTCCACAGCTTTTCACAATCAGAAAACAATTTCAATTAACATCAAAACAATTAATACTCTGTTTTCTTTTTTTAATCTAATTTGTCTCCTTTTTATTCTATCAAAATGAAGCCATGGTGTCATAGAATTCTTTTTTTTAAACGGCTCACTTGTGCGCATTAACAGGTGAAGATTTATTCCATCTGGTTTGCCCCCTTAACCAATAAAGGTGTGGCAGGTGCTGTTATGTGACAAGCTTGGTCAAAGGTTAAGCAGAACACATTCCGATACAGGGAGTCTCCTTGACATTCATTGATCAAACAAAGCCTTTAGCACTTCTTTCATGTGGATTTACAGTGGTTGAGGGATTCTAGAGAAAGCAGAACACCTTGCATTTGACTTCTTGTGCACTTGCTCTGCCACATGGGGTCAGAAGCCTTGAAATGCACTGAGGTGTCTCTACGACTTGAGGCATTCTGCACGGTCTGAGGCTGATTTGGATCAGCTTCGCGAAATTTCATACTGACAATTTCTTTTTTGGGACATAGTCACAAAGTGTGACGGAAGGACAAGCTAATATTAGATACATTCATAGTGAAGTTGCTGGGGCAAGTGACAGTTTATTGCCTTTCCCTGTCAAGGCAAATCTTTGAATCATCTCCACATTCAGCTCACATGTTTTAATGGCACTTTTCTAGCTATTTTTATCCACAGTAAACAGACAGTTATGGACCTAGTAAACATCATATCACTGCCCCTAGATCCTTGAACATAGGACATAGAATTGCTATGGAAACAGGAACAAGGTGCAGTGATTCATAAAAATATGTGCAAATATTATAGAGCAACAACATATAAGTTAAAAACAGGGCACATAAATTCTATTGCGGATGAATGTGCATTTTTTTATGAGCACCTTTATTTGTCTCCACTGAATCTTTTCAGAGGAACATCCTCACAACTTCTTTAAGTAGTCTTCAGAAAAAGTTCTCCTGGCATCCTGAAAGACATTTCAAAGCTTTTCTTTGAATGTTGGCTGCTCTTTCCTGTCAAGGTGATCCCACATTCAGTCAATAATTCATGATTCCATAAGACCTGTTGCCACAGATATTCAGTTCTTGTGCCATTTGGCTCTCTGCTGTATCTTCTCCCTGTGTCTCTTTCTTAAACCTGGCTAAGTAACTCATCCACGAAGAGCATTTCTGATAGGCCTATACTGGAGATCCTGGACTGAAGGACCAGGTATCTCTCCTAAGTCTTGCTTTAAGAATTTGTTGGGCTATTTTCCTTTTCCTTTTAGTATATCGCTTTCAGATGCTGTTCATCCACTGTGGTTTTAAAACCTGTTTTCATATCTTCCACTTGTCCAGGACCAGTATCTCTTTGGAAATCAC